GTGATATTTTTAGATACGGACTCCTGTGATTTCATATATGGACGGTGTGCCCTTATATCTATATTTTCTCCGCGCACAGTTTCTTAATGTGACTAGTATATTACCCTTGAGTTTTTGTCACTGCGGTTAAACCCTATCTATTGATTTGTAAATGAAAGCGGAAATTTGACAGATGGCGTTGGAGAATTATATGCCTTGCTGACTAATACGGCATATGATATTAAGCTTGTAATGGGTAATGTCATCATCATTAACTGTAGAATATACTCTATGAACCGCCGTCCTAAACTTTAACAGCTACATGTATGCAACACCCATTAAATATTGGTGTAAAGGTTAGTCATTACGAGATTGATATGACATATCAATCTTACCATCATAAAGAAAGCAGTTACAAAACAAGAATAACTAGCCAGCATATTCATACAAGATGAATGACAGGTTGTGTATATGCCTACATTAGGTTTTTCATGAATGTATTTATACCTATATTATGACATGAGTTATATAAGAGTTAAGATTATAATGTATATAATATCTAGAAGGTATAACTAACCTTTGAGTATGACAATTCTTAACCCTGAGTGCAATCCTCATGCAGTGACTGTGTGGTGCAACGCATTAGTGGCATGGTGGATGACATGTATATTTGAAATAGAAAGGGCTAGTGGTTAAAGCGTTCGCTCGTCACGCCGAAGACCCGGGTTCGATTCCCGACATGGGTACAAGGTGTAAAGCCTATTTCTGGTGTCCCCTGCCGCAAAGATCCGGGGTAGGATACGTCTTCTGCAACCCATGTTCGCTGTAAAAGGCGACAATAACGGGAGCGGGTGGTCGGGTTCGCTGACTTAGTTGCTGCACGTCATCGTGTCCAAATTGCGTGGATCGATGCTCATGATAACAATCACTGGATCGTTTGGTCCAGACTCAATTATTTACAGACCGCCGTCATAGAGCTGGAATATTGCTGAGTACGGCGTTAAACAACAAACCAAACAAAACCAAAACCCCTGCCGTGATATTGCTGGAATATTGCTAAAAGCGGCGTAAAACCATACTCACTCACTCACTTGACATAGGACCAGTCAACTGGAGAAGTTTGGCTTGAGCTGTAAGGACACAAAAGAGATTTACATCAAAATAGATCAACCCAAATAGGCTTAATACCCTTAAACCTAAAATGAATCAGCCATGTGTTGCAAGAGTATAGACCTTTTTTATGAGGGATTCTTTCGGGATTTTACCTTGAAGGATGATGTATAAAACTGATATATAAACAAAGCACTAAGTTTGTGACTAAGCCCAAGGCGACGGAGATGGCCAACAGCATCGAGATACAGGAGTGTAGTCTGCTGTGCCTCTGATGCTGAGGAAGGACTGCAACTTCGGAAGCTGAGTATCTGACTTGGTCTTCTTACAGCGTTGTTTCATCTTTTGCCTGTTTGCTTATTAATGAAAGTCTCCGAGAGTCATGATTTACCGTTGCAGGTCTTGACTACACAATCTCCAGCGAGTGCAAGTCTGTCTTTCGCGATAACAGTTGAACAGGTAACCAAATGAGAACATACGAAATCGTAGAGCGTCATTGATAACAAGTTCTGATGTATTGCATTGGCGATGTTTGACATATATTCTTAGACCGTTCTCAAGCCAGACTGAATAGAGTAGGAATCTACTTCAAACTCACTAAAGCAATAAACAAGATGTTGTTATCAATAAATTGTGCAGTTTCTTTTTTTTTCAACAATTTCTAGAATGCCAATCAAACAGTTAGGTTACCAAATGTACCATCATATTTACACCTTGCATTCTTGTATTGAGGATAAAACGTGAGCTGCGAGTAAATAATTTATGCATGGACAATCTTGAAGAAAAGCAAAAGCTTGATCTGTAGTTTGATCATGTCGTTTCCTGAGTAAAGGAATACGCATAATCTGTGGTCACAGTTCACAAACTATCAATGTCAAGTGCACATATCTGCACATAACTTGTGGTCACGGTACACCTCTCAGGATAAAGCACTCTGATAAGGGCTGTTCCATTACACCTGTGGGTAATGTCCTCATTGATGCCCTACCTCGCTTGCTGAGAATGTAGCCTTGAGTGAATTAAATTCCATTCTGTTCTGATTGTCTAACTTAATAGGTGTCTATCTAATGAGATCATATCAGATAGACTATAAATTTCGATCTTACACTGCATTTATAAGGGGTGGACGTCATATTTGTATTAATCGTTGAGTAATTACACAGCAACATTAGAGCAAGGAACTAACACATGTCAAGGATGAATAGACTGGAAACTAAGCAATGATGAGACTTAATGTGTATTCAGATGCTAAAATCATGTAAATTAGAAACATATCCAAGAAGACTTATAAAAGTTGAATAAGAAGTTATTGCGCGCGGTTACAGAATAATTATTGTACAAAACCAATCGTATTTAGCCTTTACAGCATATGTACATGCAAAAGTGTAATTGCTCGATAAAGGTACTATCTTCTGTACGGACACGTCGCATTGAAAGAATAAAGAAGTGGAAACACACAAGTCAACATGCTCTTCGCCAAAGGAATAATGACCTATGTGGCCTATTATTTGCCTTAGAACTTTTAACAGTAACTTTTACATAAGATGGTACATGAGTCACTGTTTATCTGTTTGTCAGTAGGACGTTTGATCATAATCCAAATCATCTAATAACTAGATAGCACCCCCAAGCGTTAGATTGTATTGTGGGGAAGTTATCAGTGTTTATAACCTTTGATGTGTATATCTGTTTTTGGGGGAATAAAGCTGGAAAATTGTATACGATGCTGATTTGTAATTGATGCACCTGACATTAATTAAGATTCGCTAATATGTAGAAAATGTAACTGACATTTTAAACGAGAATGCTTTTATTCACTGTTATCGAACTTTTGATTTGCTACATCATTTATGGAATATTATGTTGATGTGTAGATCTACATTATCTATTTATATCTCTGCTTTTACAATCTTTCCTTGAACCTTTCGAGATGTATGCTATTGAAATACACGTTCAGGCTCATGCTACGTGCGTGGATGAAACTAATGCTTATCTTTGAGCGATTGCAGATTCTTTCGTTTTCAGCTCTAAAATGATATGTAGGTCATACAATCTACCATTGTCACTAATTGATCAATTTAAAGTTGAGTTGCTGTAAGTTGATTAGACAGAATACTGCTATACTTGGTCTGGTCAAAATGCTTCTGATCATGTATCCATCCCGAGCTTCGCTGATAGTAGAGCTTGCTCGGAGAGGCGAGGTCAGCTGGTTTTATGCTTAAAGTAAATATGCGTAGTCGATTGTCTGTTTAATTCTTTGGTAGGCATTTCTTAGAAGTTGATCGATGACAAAAAAGACGCGTTAGGCAAAGAAATGACTGTTGCTTGACAACGGCATAAGGTTCTATACCTAAACGTCGCTTTTATAGTAAAATAACGATGTTGTTATCCATAATAAAAATAAATCAAATTGTTTTTGTCTAGATTGTCTATTTGCTAAATTAATTGTTCGTTACCCATTCGACAGCGGGTCAATTCAATTCAATTCCTTATTATCTAAATCCTTACAGCTTATAGTATATAAATATACTGTGGAAAAATACAGTTTTGCTCCCTCATACAGATAAGTTGTGTAGGATATTTGGTGATATATAAGCACATGTTACAAGTTTCAAATTTCAAATGGAGAATTCACATACTCATATACTTAACTCACATCTGAACCTACTAGCATGATACATGACCTTTCCTAAATTACATAATTGTTTTACATTCTGTAACATTAGTAATTGGACAAGTTTGAATACAGAAGGTTTTCCAATAGAATGGTCTTATATGTTACTTTCTAAAATCCAAATATAATTGTGATTTCAGTATGACATGGAACTCATCTTCAACATCCAAAAGACATTTTCTTTCAATAATATCTAAACCTTTGTATGCTCCAGTTTCTATATGTGAATTTGGCCGAAAATTATCTTAGAAGAAAAAGAAATGATTTTCTTAAAAACATTTTTGTAATAAATGAGTATTATATAGGTGTGTATACAAAGCACATTTTGGTGAATATATGAGATTAATGAATACATGAATAATAATAGGCAAAACATTTATGCAGTTCTTGTTTCATCTGGATAGCACTGTAACCAATACTGTTTAATATCTTCATAACATTATTTGCTAAATTGCCAACATTTTCATATTCAGCTTTCATCTACAAAGATTCATGACAGACTTTTAATATACAATTATCGGTATCCAAAAGTTTACACCAATATAAAACCACATTAAACATTCTATTATACTTCAAACTACATCACCCAAGTTCTGAACACAGTGTATATCAAATTATTACATGTAGACCTCTTTACACCAAGTATGTTGGGTTTTTTTAAATCAAGATAGACTGTTTCAATCTTATTAGCCTTATGCGAACCCCATACTTCAGAAGCATAACAAAGTTTACTTCCAAAACAAGAGTCAAATAATGATTACATGGTTTCAATATTAAGAAAGAAGGATTTAATTATATATTATTGTGATATATAGACAAAATAATGCTTTCCAACCCGATACGCCAACTGTTTTCAACACAAATTAATATATTGGTATTAGTATTATTAAACATTTCCAAGCATGAAAAATTATCAACCACCTCGATTGTTTTCTTATTATAAAACCACTTTTCCATACTCCTTATTGTACCCCTTTTCGCCACATCATAATCTTTTCCACATTGACTCCTAAACTCCACACCACTCCACTGAGATACTGTGTCGGAGGCATTTTTATATGTGTGCTTAGCTCATTTGCATTAGTGATTGTTTGTTCCTCTATTGGCGCACACACAAAGCCTGTTGTTCATGCATGATATGGAATAATTGATATGTGATTAGATATTGCATTCAGGTGCATCACAACAGTATTACAAATGTACACACACATTTGTACGTGGATGTGCATGTTGACTTGTCTTCATAGATGATTGAGCTGCTACAACAGAGTATAACTGATACATGTGTGGAACAACGATACACTTTATGTCTCCATATAGCATCTTTATACCCATAATATGTTCGCAGCGCCAATGGAGTCTCACACATTTGGAAAATGGGATTACACAGTGTTTGGTGTCATGGTGGCCGTCTCAGTGTCTATTGGCATATACCACGCCATAGTCGGCAGACATGGTAAACTGGAGGAGTACTTTCTGGCTGGACGAAAACTGACCTTCTTCCCCGTCGCGTTGTCGATACTGGCGACGTTGACGTCGAACATTAAATTGCTTGGGGCATCAGCAGAGGCTTATGGTTATGGCATCATGTGGATTCTCAGTGAAATAGCGATCTCCGTGGGAAAACTTCTAGAAATGTACCTTCTATTGTCCCTTCTGAAGAGACTGAACATATCAAGCCCATTTCAGGTAGTGTTTTATTTAATATTATCGATGACCATAAACAGTCAGTCGCCAGGTAGTATCTTAGTTGAAGTGCACTCATTTGTCTGGCAAATGGGAGGTTATATTTCCATCTGCAATTATTATGAGAATAAAAGACGAGCTACGGGAAATTATGGTTCCTCATGTCATCTATGAAAAAATGAACCATAATTTCGAGTTTCTGGTTGGTTATTCTCTTTCTTACCCATAATCAAATTAACTGCAAACGACCCAGGATATCCAATTCCTTACGACTTTTGACCTTTCTAGTGGCTGAAACTCAAAACAAATGTTTCCCTTTGCAACAGTAACTGACACTTCGGATTGTGTAAAATAGCTCGCCATGGCCATTCAGATTTAGTATACTTGTATCACTTAAAACTAGTACAAAAACAACATGCAAATTAAAGTTGCATTGAATTCATTAACTTTAACATATTCAAGTTAACTTTCTTATGAGTCAACATCATCGAGAGCCAGAATTTCAGTTTAAGTGGGTCACACGTGTTGACGTAATGTTACAGCGGCTCTGTAAGCTAATTTTAAAGTTATCCAACATTAACAAGCTGATGCCAGACATGCATACTGGGTGATGGATGGAAGGATGGGTATGCAATATGTATCAAGCTGCAGTTATTTATTCAAAATCAGAATCCAGAATTATGCGACGTCTCGTTCCATATCAGCACCTGGATCTTCACTTCAGGTATTATCGGATGCTTCAACCTGCTTCAAACTCAGAGACACGTAACCCATATGTTCAACGTATTTCAGTATTGTCAGCAACACACGTCAAGGATCGATGAATAAAAACAGCAATAAACCCCTTTCCATATTGATAAGACATCTCTGCAGAGTCGATTTTACAATTCCATTCAATTCAACAGGCTTTAAGAAATCGAGCCCATACAACCAATCAAATCGCTGTTCAATTGCAAACAAACACAGGAACGTATAGCAGAAGACACTATAATCAGTTTCATCAGACATCATTTTTGTCACTGTTGCGTCAACTTTGAAAAATTGCCTCAATGAACCGAAATAAATCCACAGTCAATCCATATGATTTAATTCGACAACGAAAACATGTCCTCTACAATAGTTTAACCAACAACAGTTTTATATATCAAAGCAGACAAAAATGTAGAGATTGATAAACATTCCACGTGTAGGAATACATACTGTGGCGTGACATGAATCAGGTGATTGCTTAATTTATGCACATAACTTGACACGCCCATAAAGTCAGTAGCCAAGCAACGGAGAGTAGGATTGAAAAATTGGTTGATTGGTCTCGATAGTAAACATTTTTCGATTGCAAATCTTAATCTTCTCATTACCTTGTAGCATTTATTTTTGTCAATATTTGTATCTTTTCCAGTATATCCAGGGTCGCTTCAAGTCCAGACTTCTCAGCGTCATAGTGATGGGAGCGTCTTGTGTCGAGAATGTAAGGCTCATGTGGCCCTTGAGGCCAGAGACATAGCATTATATGTTTAGTTGCATGATTTTTTAATTTTTTGCTTAAATAGTGTTGAGATTTTCTTTTGAAAAACATAATTTATATCACCAAGGAATAAATAGAAAGCCGGATGGAAATTATTCCATTTGCTTTGCAAATTCAAATTTGAAATACAGTCATGTTTTATCTGTTGTACAAATTCAAGGGATTTATATTTTGCATAAGAAGTTCTCTATCCTACTTTTAGAACAAAGATGAATGTTAATCATTTGCATTCATTATGAAATCCTCCAATAGTAAGTATATTGTACAGCAGTTAAATAGTTTTCAAAGTATGTTCTAATGACAATCATACTTGTTTAGGATCCTTGAGTCTGTTGTTTATCGATTCCAATGTGTCAAGCCACAACAGTACGGGTATGGATGTATTAAAATTATTGCCACAAATGATAAGAATCTCTTTGAGTGCGAGTTTTGTTTTGTGATTTAAAGGGGACATACTCCTTCATGTATTGCCCATTGGGCACCAGACTGTAAGAAAGTAAAGAAAGACTTTTCAGATACATTGCATAACCATATACTGCAACTGTGAACATCTCTTGTTAAATGAGTGTTGTTTCAAGGATCGAGTAATGTATGTAAGTTTTGATAATCTGGCCAGCCGCGGGCCCGCTGTATAGCCATATCCCAAATGGAAACCTATGTGGTGGGATTAAAATAAATCGCAGTTACAAAATTTTGTACTACACAGTGCCGCCTGTGCGGACGTCGCGGCTTCAATCTTGACAGATCAAAGACAAGCAAGACAGGCAATACAATGAAGTAAAATACGTTGCAGCAATAAGTAACAGGCACTGTTATTAATGGAAGTGCACTCATGAATGTCTAGAATTTTGTTGAATGCCTTAAAAAGGCCTGTCTCCATTCTTGAATCCGGAAGGCGTTCGGAGTTTTCAGATAAGTATCGAACCCACACTTGACAAGTAGAGAAGACGCAATGTACTTCGTAAATGGCATCGAATCGCCCCCGTGTAGCTTGTATATACGTACAGCCAGCCTTCAAGAAAATGACACAAAATTTCACGAACGAATATGTCCGCCATGTCCATAAACAAAACCCAGGGTAGGTAACTCTGAATTCCATTAACTCGACATTTTACCGATGCTTCATTCACGTAATAGTACTGACATTCACTACAATTAAACGTACAACAATCGCAACTGTCACAAAACGACAATAAACGTTGTCGCCTGTCCTCGTAGATACACCTTTGTTACCAGTGACAGTATGGGCTGTTGGAGTTGATGGCTGGAACTAATGTCGAAGATGAGTGGTTCGAATCCATATGTCTTGGCGACGGGTAGTCACTACGGGGGTGGTCTTCGAAGTGGATGATGATGCCGTCGCAATAAGTGCTGTCGGGTGTTCCATTGGACGTTTGAAGCCATTTCTTGCAAAAAAGCATGCTCTACCAGCGACATTTATTTGACTGCAGTTCTACAACGATGTTTTTCATAAACATTTTTCCGGGTTCCTTTTTTTAACATTTTATCAAACAATCATATAAAGGTTCATAAGTAAAAAGAATTCCAATTCGAACGCCAAAAGAACCTTCGAATGCAGCCGAACAAGGCAGCGAGATGTCTCGACAGGATTATCATACTTTTGGCTTTAATTCATGCTGTTTAATACTTTTATGAGTATTTCTTACACAGGCCACCAACAACAACATGAGTGACTAATGTGTGGGCTCTTCGGCAATCGTAACTGGTGATACTCATTACTACCATATCACACATATATCATATGGAAGAAATGTCCTTGCTGTAATGCCGTGGAATGGGTAAACATACCATGACATGCTGTTTTCATGTTAATATAAACAATTATACTTACCAGTCAAGTTCACCTTTATTATCATCATCGCGTTGTTTCAACTTTAGACTTCACTCCCAAGGAACCAGACAAATAACGTGCGATGATGATCCTAGGTATTGCAATCCCGACAACTACCCCAGGGTCGTGTTTTTTAAACGTTATTTAACGTTATTCTTTATGGCTTATTTTTCAGGTCTTCTACATGAGCATAATCTTGTTTGGGCAGGGCATAGCATTACAAACTGGTAAGATGAATGAACGATATTTATTAAGACATCCTTTGTTGTGTATTGCGGAACTGACTGAACGAACTTGCAGACAGTGGAAACATTCTACCCTGAACATCATACCTGTACAACCACTAACTCTACCAGAAACATACAACACTAACAATACCATTAAACCATACCCAATACCAACACTGGCACCAAATCATCGATACCACGTGTTTACTGGTACACATTTTGTACTTATATCACACCTGCATAAAAAATGAACCACTCATGTTTCAAGTGACCGCCACATTTGTACATTTAAAGTTCGGACGCATTTTAATACCCAAGATGTAGTAAATCCTCTCCATCTATGATAGCAAATATACATTCAGAGACGTAGTGAGTTTGTACATTTGTAAATATACTGAGCAGCATTGAAAACGCACCAGCAATAAATCTTGAAATATTACAAAAACAACTTGAGCAATGACCGATTTTGATTAGAACAGACATAGACGGATTATTAAGAAAGACGACAAAGGAAACAGGAATACCACACAGTAATTACAATTAAGTCATCAGTGTAAGGAAGACACATAGGGTTAAAATGAAAAGTCAATATTTGGTATGTCCGCCATTGACAGCAACACAGGCCATGCAACGTCTTCTCATTGATCGAATAAGTCTGCGAATAGTGTTCTGGGGCATTCAACTCTTGACGTAGTGTATCTTCAAGTTCTCTAAGGTTCTGTACTTGCGGACGACGTGAGAGGCGTTGACCCAGGTAATCCCATAGATGTTCAATTGGCGATAGATCGGGTGACAGGCCTGGCCATGGAAGCAGAGGCACATTATTGTTCGCTAGGTACTGTGTTGAAACACGTGCTGTGTGCGCTCTTGCATTATCTTGCTGGAAGGTGTGCATATCCTGGTGCTGATGAAAGAATGGGATGACATGATTTGCCAATATGTTAATCCTGTAGTAAAGGGCATTAACTCTTCCACGACAAACATGGAGCTCTGTTCGATGGTTATGACTGCCCCACACCATGACACTCCCTCACCCCCATCGATCTGTCTGTACAACGCAGTCATTGTGGTAACGTTCTCCACGTCGACGCCACACTCGCATTCGACCGTCAGCATTCCGTAAATGAAAACGGGACTCATCAGAGAACAGCACACCATGACACAGCCGCAATCTCCAATGACGATGCCTTTTGGCCCAACGCAGACGTTCATTTCGATTTCGATCAGTGAGTGTGGGTCCAACATATGGACGACGAACAATATGGCGATCCTGACGTGGTGTAGTTACACGACGTTGACCCGGACGTGGTCGATCGCTGGTGGTTCTTGACTGCAGATGGTATCTGCTCAGTAGCCTGAGGACTGTTGAATGATGGCATTGAAACCGTTGTGCAACGACTCTACTTGACGTACCAACTTGAAGCATGCCCAAGGCACGTTCACGTTCCTCTGCTGTTAATCTTGGCATTTCTTGTGTCAGTACCATTGACGTCTGCAGCAACAAGTGATGTGGCTTTTAAAAGTCTGTCTTTAATAGCCCTATTCTGCATGCTTCCCGTGAAACAAAACACGTTTTCCATGATGTGCACGCAATTTGTTGCGTTTTGGCGATTTCGCTCACAAACAAATTAGGAATGTGTTTTGACGAGCTGTTCTTCTTCATCCTTAGTCCAGAACGTCGTATATTACTCATTCACTTATATATTTTCATATGACTTAAGCCCGGATAAAAATACATCCATTTTCATGGTGGTGCGTTTTCAATGCTGTTCAGTATATTTGGCAGGGGCCTCTAATAACGTTTAATGTTGTATATTTCCTTTTTCCTGAAATTACGTTTAGTGCTTTGGCCAAAAACGTTATAGACTATACCAACTGTATTTCTTTCCTACTTTTGTATTTTTACATAACATCCATATACAACCCGTCTACACCATCAAAAGTGTGACTGAAAACTCAAATGTGTTTGTTTGTTTGTTTGTTATATATTCTTCACTCAGAAATATTCCAGTTATACGGCGGTCTGTAAATACTCGAGTGTGGGCCAGACATTCCAGTAATTGACATCATGAGCGTCGATCCACGCATTTGAGACACTCACGTCGACATACCATCAACCCAATCACCGAACCTGACCACCAGTTAGTCGCCTCTAACGACAAGCATAGGTTGCCAGGAACCAATATTCTTACCCAGAATCCTCACTTGTGACGACTCATGACAAATTATCTTGTGCACATGTTTCAGTGACAGGGTTCTCTGCCGTGGAGTCAGTCTTGGTGACGTCAGCGGCAACTGTTCTCTACACAGCTATAGTGAGTTATTCTCAGGTCACGATATCAAATAATGCTGTGGAATTTCCTCGGATGTTTTGGGGGAACTGTTTTTAAAAGAAAAAAGCTGTTCTTGAAAAAAAATATTATTTGGCTATTCTGAGGAAAACATAGCATGTCTTGGAGCTTTGACTAAAAAAAGAAATTGTCTCCCTAACCCCTGAATATAATATCAAGTGGTCGGTCCCCGATTAGTTTGATTGTGTAAGCTTGATGAAGTTCATTTGTTGATCCAGCGTATCTTCGAAACGTCCACTTACATTAAAAACTCACAATCACATTTGCCTATAAATAACTTTAAGTCAGGCCTAGGCATACGTGTGACCTATAACTTGAGCAACGATCCATGGGGCCACCCTTTGTTTGTACCTTATCCTCATTATTATTCCTTTCTTCGCAGAAATACTGGCAGTGACGTGTTTGTTTGTTTGTTTGTTTGTTGTTGTTTAACGCCGCACTCAGCAATATTCCACCGATAGGACGGCGGTCTGTAAATAATTGAGTCTGGACCAGACAATCCAGTGACTATCATCATAAGCATCGATCCACGCAATTTGGACACGATGACGTGCAGCAACCAAGTCAGCGAGCCTGACCACACGATCCCGTTTGTCGCTCTTACGACAAGCATAGTCGCCTTTTTACGGCACGCATGGGTTGCTGAAGACCTATTCTACCCCGGATCTTCACGGGAGAGGGGCGGTCGGGTAGCCTAGTGGTTGAAGCGTTTGCTCGTCACGCCGAAGACCCGGGTTCGATTCCCGACATGGGTACAATGTGTGAAGCCCATTTCTGGTGTCCCCCGCCGTGATATTGCTGGAATATTGCTAAAGGCAGCGTAAAGCCATTCTCACTCACTCACTCACGCTTCACGGGAGAGTTAGCATCGTGTATTCCTTGGTTTCGTATGTACCGAACGTCTATCTTTTGTAAATATCTAAACATCAAATTGATCTTATTTTGATAAATGTATAAGATAGTTTCAATGTCTGGTGAAAACAATTGTACAAGACAATCGTATATTGTTCAGAATATCAGGTCCAGATTTTAAAATACGTTACATTTCACTTACATTGTTATCGATAATAATATAATTATTATGTTCCCAGGGTGGACTGAAAGCGGTGATATGGACAGATGCTCTCCAGTACATGATAATGTTTGCTGGGATACTAGCTGTTACAATAAAGGTGAGAAGCAGTGCTTCACATGTAAGTCAAGAAACATATAACATCAATTATCACATAATGGGTAGGTTTCTCTGCAGGATAAAGCTAACTAATAAATACGGGGCCATATGCGGATAGAGATACACATATCAAAGGTCAAGTAGGGACTACTTTCACTGTTTACAAACAAACATGGCTACGCCCGCATTCGGCGATCGAGTCAGAATTAACCATCGGGAATCTGGAGAAACTACTTGGATAATTGCTATCATTATCAAAAGAACTGTCCAATATACTGAAAATCAGTGTCTAACTGTGACGTAGCTAAGGCATTTTACAAGTTTGGGCAACATGGTGACATAAATTGCGAAACAATTTTGCGAGGGCACTAGTCCTAGCCAAGCGGGATCAGTAGCCTTATCTGTGCTCGTAGACCTCTGCGGCTTCGAACCTTCGAATTAATATAGTTGGATTTGGCCGAAATGTGTTTGAATTGTTATCTTGTTTCGTTTTGTCGCTGTGTGTACATCTAACTGCACTTCGTAACGTTATGACAGGACAGACTGACTGTCATCAACATCTGAACGTGGCCGTGACGTCTCATAGACTAGGGTTAGAGTAGCTTCCCTTTGACAAAGGGCAGTTACTCTAGCGGACAGACGGATGGATTGCCGCGAAAGGCAAGTAAAAACAATTCGTGTAGACATGTTGTTTTGCGTATAGGTTGTTTCGCCACTGTATAAAAACAATGTTTCAGTTGGAACTATATTGGCTACTGTCACTGTCCGACTGACACATCACTTACCCTGTGACGTAATATATATATATATATATATATATATATATATATATATATATATATATTAATGCGCACATTCCAGGAAAACCTGCAATGTGTCGGTAATGTTTGTGAGAGAAGGAAAGCGATTTTCAAGCACAGAATTGAAGAATGACATTTGTGATAAAGAGGTTATCATGCTTGTTTGTTTGGGGATGGTAAATATCCTATACTAGGAATCAACAATATGTATTTAGCTCGCCAAGGCTCGCCAAATACAATGTTTATCCCTAATACAGGATATTTACTAAACACACTCGCGTGATAACCTCTATGTATTTCTAGAATCTTGTAAGACAGAACGTCACATCACGTCACGAAAAAGTCAGAAGTCCTTCATTGATAGGTGTGTGCCAAATAAATCCGTCATATACCCAATAGTCCCCTTTGATGTTAAGTATGATGGACAGCTTAGTGGACATTTGGTAGGCACGTGACACTAAATGCCCGGGTTCGAATCCCCAAATGTGTATAAAATATGAAGCCCATTTCTGGTGCCCTCCCTCCCTGCTATGATATTGCTCTCCTTGAATATTGTTGCAGCAAGCCCCTACTCTGTTGTTAAATGGTAATTAAATCTTAAATTAAATAAAACAGGGAACCATTGACGTAGGAGTGCAGGAGATATGGAGCAGGATAATTTCAGGAGGAAGACTTACTTTCATGTGAGTACTTGTGTTGTCGTTAGAATTGTGGATTTGCTCAGGCACATGTTGTGTACTTCGACCATGTACTCGGTGAAGTTCAGAAACAATTATTGCAAAAATAGAAGCTTTTTCAAATATCCCAGAACCAGCAAACAAAATAGAATTTATGAAATGCCTGGTTATGACTGGTCACTACAATATATTTTGTCACAATCTCGCACTATTTTTTGGCCGAAATGATAAATTTTCTTTGGGATAACCAATGCCAGGCTGCTTTAGTGAGAGTAAGTTATACTTATGAATGATCCAGTCTTGAAAGTCAAAGCACCATACTTTGAGAACATGTGCAATGTGAAATTGACATTGTTGGTGGTGGTGTTTTGTTTCAGGAAGATCCTAATGACATCAGTCACCACGTTTGTTACTTTTCAAAGCAATTTGACAAGCAACAGAAACATGGCTCTCACTATTGAGAAAGAAACCCTTGTATCCTACTAAAGTGTTCACAGATCACAATCCGCTGACTTTTCTTCATTTCCGAAGAACAAAATTCAGAGATTGGTGAGGTGGAATTTTAGCTTGAATCCAGCAAATCAAGGGCAAAGACAATGTGATGGCCAATGCTCTTGGAAGAGTCAGTTGATTGGACAGTGTTCAAATGTTTCTAATTATTGAGGTAGAATGTGTTTTATGTTCTTTTAATATAGTGGTAGGCAAGCCTAATTCAGAGCAGACTGTTGTGAACGTATTTGTAGCAATTGTCAGTTGTACCAAGTGATTGTAATGCTGGTAAAATGTCGAAGCCTGTTGTGGCCAGTTTGTAATAGCTATCAATGGCAACGAGAGGAATTTTACCGCTCTCAGCTGTTGGCATGATCGTATATATTACTCAAAGTTTGTTCAGGATTACCACTTTAAACAACGACAAATTATGTGCATCTGTTGAAATAGCTCAAGATACTATTGCGTGAAGGCATTTAGAATAAACAAAAGTCCATTGTCATGTGCCACAAAAACCAACCAACAATGACTCAAAATCACCCGTCAAAATGAGAGAATCTCATGAAAACTGAAACGTAAAATGATAACGAAAACAAATTTATTGTCAAAAAAACCCTCTTAGTAGTGTGTATGTGATCCACGTGATGCGATCACAGCCTGGTACAGTCTCAAGCTCCCAATATGTGTCTCGTTGGTGTGGATGACATTTTTTACTCCATTTTACAGTAAGATCATTGCCGAGTTTCTCTAGTGGTGCTGTCAGTACAGGGTGTTGTGAGAGGGCGATATGCAGCTCCTTCCACATGTGTTCGATAGGGTTGAGGTCTGGTGAACGAGCCTGGGGCAATGCGGTCGAGCGTTATCGTGCTTTACGATGAAGTCAGGTCCGATTGCACCATCATATGTTCTCATGTACACATCTAGAATATCGTCCCTGTAGCGCACACCTGCCCCACTGTAGGACTAGAGATCAAATTCTTCCAGCTCTACTGATCCCATCCCAAATCAAGATTAAGTCCCCTCCATATCGGCCATGTTCGGCTTGGTTAAAATCCTGATATCTTTCACTTTGTCTCAGCCACAATCGGGCATGATGACAGGTGAAATCTGCACAGCATCTCGATTCATGAGTGAAAAGTACTGGCGCCCAGTCCTGGTCTGTTCAATTAACGTGATTTTAGGTCAATTCAAACGCGGAACGCTGTCGACCACCTGAATGTCACTGGGTAGCTGATCAAAACTTTTGGTATCGATTTCATGTCCTGCTGATCACACTTTGGCTGGCACCGAACACATTGCGTTGACCCATTTTCATTCAGTTGTTAAAATCCTAAGTAGCAAAACCTCTCTGATAATGACGTGCTTCAATTCTGTCACCTTACATCCAAACACAGGTTTTCAAGAACCTAGTGCGCATTGTACCCATGGCGCAAGCATCTGTCCGTTCATCATGAAATTGGGGCGCTATCGGGTTTACCCAATCATTGTGTAGCAGGATATTTCAATCATGTTTTTCATGATGATATTTTGATATCATCAAAACTTGATCCTTAGCAAACTTTGAGTAGTATATGTCTCAAAAGCCAAATTGCTGCCAGCTTCAAACGACAGTGCAGATTGGATACCTACCTACAAAATTTTGTTCCCGCGTTTTCAGGTGAACAACTGACTTGCAAATGCATGTATTTGTGACGGGTGCCACCGGTTGGGGCGGGACCCGCCGATCTGTTTGCGAACACCTAATATCATCACTTTTTGATAGTGATTCATAAACATATGCTCATTATATAGTCAGAATGGTACAATCGCTTTTATTTAGCGCGAGGCTATCCTTCATTTGAGAACACGGTTGAAGGACTGGAGTGGATCTGTAGCAGTGTTTGTTTAGGCAGAGATTAGCCTTCATATGACCTCAGTGGTTGGAGGATAAGGTAGGTCTGCAACTGATCCAACCTAATTTGTCTGATAACTTTCGTTTGCGTTAGGATCATCAGTGGTCATCCGGTAACTAATACCACTGGTACGATGGTAGGAATCAACTGAACTTACTTGCACAGGAAATACTGTTTTGGCCGATAACAGGTGGGATTGTGATCAATAGCTATAATACTTACAGGGAAAGATATGCCACCTGGTTCATGGCCATAATGGAATGACCACTCACTTTGCTTGAGTTTTCAGATTTGACCTTGACCCGACAATCCGACATACCGTGTGGAATTTAGGAGTTGCCAGAGTGTTTGTTGGAATGGGTTTACTTTTCCAACCTGCCTATCTTCAGCGTATTGCCGCCACGAAGTCCCTCACTGACGCAAGAAGGCATGAACAATATTTTCAATTTGTTTTGTTTTCATAATCATACAGTAATTGTATCGTAACTGGAAGAGCCTGGTGGTTAAAGCCTTTGCTGATTTCAGTACAGCGCATTCTTTATCCATTGAGATCATTTACATGGCTATTTTGCCTTTACTTCCTATGGAATCTGTTTCGGTGGACTCGGTGGTTATTCTCTGGTGTTTACGTCTTCTATTAACACCTGCTGTAATAAATATACAGGATGCATAATTGTTGTGTGATAATCAAATATTTGGCTTGAATATTACTTTGACTTATGGTCACGTATTGTTATGATCTGGCTAGTTTGTCTATCTTCTTTCACGATGATCAACGTGCCACAACAACTGCTTGTTTTCCTTAAAGAGCGATGCTAGTTGCGCTACTCTGCGGTCCTATATATGGTGTCCTTTGCGTCATCAGTGGACTTGTGGCATATGGTTACTATGACTACAAGAGATGCGACCCTATAGCATCCAATCAGATCGACAATATTAATCAGGTACGATCACGATCCATGATATATCGTCAATGCAAAAGTTAAGCACCAAGCGGATTACCCTAAAGAGTACAGTTAAGACCTTATCAGTTCAATTGGCCAGCACTATTTAATTTTGATTTATTCATACATGCGTGGTATAAACGGGAAAACCTGTTGATATATGTTGACATAGGAGTAAACACTGGGGTAAACGCTTTCCATACCAAACTGGATGTTGGTAGGTAGCAACTAACTTTTTCTCTCTGGACAGTAGAACTTGTTATTTCACCCAAGCACATGGAGCATGGTTAAGGAACGTGTTTTGCCCTTTTCCTTAGGTATTTAAACTTAAGCTAACTTATATTATGAACCGAAGTGCTTCCGGACCACAATCGTTGTAGCATTAACATACGACATTCAATAATAAGGTCAATATTTCTCACTTTACTTTTGGTGTCATCAGGCGTGACAGCGACAGGTGGAAACAAGGTGCCTTTCAGCGTAAAAACGGCCAAATTACTTCATACCAGCGCTATTTTGTGTCAATTTCAGCTTTATTAGGTTATTTTAGTATCAATGTAATACCTTTGTGTGGTGAATAAATGAAGCAATAGCGCATATACGCTCTCTCTTTGAATAAAAGCGACACAAAAAATCCATGATCATAAAACGTCTCTTCTAAAAGCATTGTCTATTACGATTCCGACCATATTTGTTTGTTTATTTGTTTGTTTGTTTGTTTGTTTGTTTGTTGATCAACCATGCACTCAGCAATATTACAGCTGAATATTGTTCCAGGTTTTTTCCAATATTCCAATATTCGTATGTAAATATTATTACGATTGTTGTCCAGGTATTCCAATATTCTGTTAGGAATATCGAGCATTTTACATATGGTTTTCTCAATAAACTTTGATGACATTTGCTTTCATTTTAGACGCATTGTTCCGAACCTCTGAAGATAGAGATGTAACTATGGTCTCAACGATCAGGGGCGGTCGGGTAGCCTACTGGTTAAAGCGTTCGCTCGTCACGCCGAAGACCCGGGTTCGATTCCCGACATGGGTACAATGTGTGAAGCCCATTTCTGCTGTCCCCCGCCGTGATATTGCTGGAATATTGCTAAAAGCGGCGTAAAATCATACTCACTCACTCAACGATCAGTGACGCATGCCCCATGGATCAAGGAATGAAGTGTTTCCTTAAGATTGTCATGTCGGATGTTTATGTGGTAAAGCTGAAAATCAAATGTTTTGACATAATTGAACTTTGTTCAGATTCAGGAAAATCCTTTTACTTTTGGAGAATCCACATGGTATTAATTCCACTTGTCTCATATACTTTCTGTGTTGCGTGTTTTTGCAGATTTCATCCTCATTTATATGTTGGCCTTATCCTAGTACATGGCATTATTTGATATGTCACTTATACCAAGTTGTTTATTGCAACTTTAGTAACCAATTTCATATATTTAATTTTATTTCAGAACCACGGGCGCCGAGCCAAATCATTCGTGATGTGTGTCATTTAACACCAGTGCCTTTGTTTTAAGCACCCACGTAAAACACGTGGTTGACGTCGCAGGCGCCGATCCATCTCATCCCACATGTGCTCGATTGTGGAGAGATCAGGGGAGCGAGCCGGCCAGGGGATGACATTCACGTTGTTTTGTTGAAGAGAACCCTGAACACGTCGAGCAATATGAGGCCGGGTGTTGTCATGTTGAAAGGCATTGCCGCTATGTGAAAAGAATTCACTGTAATCAGTATTAGCAATGAAAAATGGATTCTATGATCCTGGAATGATAAAGATCCTTGTGTATTTTTGGCCCTGAAGGGCAGGAACAAAGTTTAAATGACACAACAGCCAGCTCATATACAAAAACCCAAAAATAGCCTAGAAAAGCTAAAATTGACACAAATGTGCGTTGGAATAAAGTAATTACGTCGTTTGTACGCTGCAAAGCACCCTGTTTTCGACTCGTCGCTATCGCTTCAGATGACACCAAAAGTAAAGTGAGAAATATTGAACCTAATATTGAGTGTGGTATATAAATACTATAACGATTGTTGTCCGGGCGCCCTTGGGTGTATGATGTAAGTTAGATTTAGTTCAAAATTTTAAGTATAAGGTCTAAAAACGTTCCTAAACCATGCTTCATGTGCTCGGGTGAAATCAGAACTCTTACTGTCCAACGAGAAAATGGTCGTTGCAACCTACCAACATCCTGTTCGGCATGGATAGCGCTAACGCCCTGTGGTAAAGATAGCCTTAAACTGCGTCCACGTTGATCCTTTGGCGACTATTTAAATATCTAAGTTACTGTTGAGGGATACTGGGAGGTGATTTTGCATCGTGATTAGATATTTGTTTATTTGAAACCATGAGCCTGAATTTCTTCATTAGAAAACCACCTTGTAACAATGTTAGTTTGGAGGCAAGCAATTTCTTCTCTTTTCAACTGTTTGAGGAGTCGTGATTTTATTTTTCGAATTTTCGGAGACAATGTTTACTTTTCGATACAGTCCCAGGCCCCACCCCCAGACTATCAAATGGTCGGTCCCTTAAAAAAACGCTATGTATTTTGAACAAAAACTGTAAAACTACACCTGAAACTGGAGGGAAGGTGCATAAAACACATTCCTTTTACCCTCTTTCACTTTCATTCACTCTCTCTTCCCAAGGTATTACCTTTCATGACACTCGACATTTTCCGTAACCTACCCGGAATGCCAGGACTGTTTCTTGCAGCACTCTACAGTGCGTCTCTCAGGTCAGTTTGGTTTTGTTTTAAACATATTTTATTGACATATATGGTCAACGGGATTGGGCAAAAGTTATCCAACTTAGGTTGACCTTTCCCTACTCTATATGTACAGACATTGATTATACATATATATACACATATACACATACATAAACATACGTATACAGAAATACATACATATACACATTATCATATATACACATAATCATACATACATACACATACTCATATACATATGCACATATTACATTTATAGTAACAAAGAGAAATATATTTACACAAGAACATAAACATAATGTTTGCAAGAATAACATAAACATACATAAGAATTGACTATATAAACACAATTTACTTGTATATACACATTAATCCAAAATACATGGAAGACTACATATATAATTACACAATCATACATACACTTATATACATGTACATATATGCACACATACACAAACTACATACATACACATAAACCCTTGTATACGCATGCATACATATATAGTTTGGTCAGTTTCGTCATATGCATATGAGATGTAGTCGTATCAGCTCATTGTACACGATCAAGCCGAGGTACATCAACTTAGGATAGTTCCATAACGATTTACCTTACCACTAGCGTATCACTTACCACATTTAGACAGCAAATGGAGACTGAGATGTCAATACGTCGTTTTATGTTGTTTAAAAAGGTAAGAAAATTAATTATGAAACATGTATCCATCTATCAGCTATATCTTTGGATAACAGATTGTGCAAACGTTAACTTGACCTGGAATTAATAAACCTAAATATTGTAATTTTTCAGTTCACTGTCATCAGGACTCTCAGCCCTCGCCAATATCACATGGGAGGATTTTGTAAAACCATGTGTCCCTGCAATGTCGGAGTTTAAACAAATGGCTGTCGCCAAAGCATCAGGTATGACGGAGCAAAACGAGTTATTCTTTCTGAATTATTACATTTTGCATTCAAACAGTTTGTTTATAATACAAAAAGTGACAAATCCCTTTCCATAATCATTAATAATAAAGCAGCAAAATCCATTTCTATAATCATTAATAATATAGCAACAAAATCCATTTCTAAAATCATAAATAATAAAGCAACAAAATCCATTTCTATAATCATTAATAATAAAGCAAAAAAATCCATTTCTATAATCATTAATAATAAAGCAAAATAATCCATTTCTATAATCATTAATAATAAAGCAACAAAATCCATTTCTATAATCATTAATAATAAAGCAACAAATTCCCTTTCCATAATCATTAATAATAAAGCAACAAAATCCCTTTCCATAATCATTAATAATATAGCAACAAAATCCATTTCCATAATCATTAATAATAAAGCAACAAAATCCATTTCTATAATCATTAATAATAAAGCAACAAAATCCATTTCCAAAATCATTAATAATAAAGCAACAAAATCCATTTCTATAATCATTAATAATAAAGCAACAAAATCCATTTCTATAATCATTAATAATAAAGCAACAAAATCCCTTTCCATAATCATTAATAATATAGCAACAAAATCCATTTCCATAATCATTAATAATAAAGGAACAAAATCCATTTCTATAATCATTAATAATAAAGCAACAAAATCCCTTTCCATAATCATTAATAATAAAGCAACAAAATCCCTTTCCATAATCATTAATAATATAGCAACAAAATCCATTTCCATAATCATTAATAATAAAGCAACAAAATCCATTTCTATAATCATTAATAATAAAGCAACAAAATCCATTTCTATAATCATTAATAATAAAGCAACAAAATCCCTTCCCAAAATCATTAATAATAAAGCAACAAAATCCATTTCTATAATCATAAATAATAAAGCAACAAAATCCATTTCTATAATCAATCATAATAAAGCAACAAAATCCCTTTCCATAACCATTAAAAATAAAGCAACAAAATCCATTTCCATAATCATTAATAATAAAGCAACAAAATCCATTTCTATAATCATTAATAATAAAGCAACAAAATCCATTTCTATAATCATTAATAATAAAGCAACAAAATCCATTTCTATAATCATTAATAATAAAGCAACAAAATCTATTTCTATAATCATTAGAAATCTCTACTTAAAGCAGAATTCATTATACGATTCCGACTATATCAAAGGCATGTGTCTATGAAATAGCGTATCCTGCCCTACCGCCTCCCCGTCACAAACACATGCAAGGGTAAATTAATTGCTAACCTGAGAAAACATGGATATACATATCATGGACCGAGTCAAACTAGGGAATTGCAACTGACATCCACATGTCTACCATAAAGTACTTGAAAGGCCTTGAATATTGTAACTTTGACTTTTGAGCAAGTCACTCTTTGAAATCTTCGTAGAAAGCGCCTGCTCGATTATACCTAAAAATGTGAAATATATAACACCAAAGGCTAGAGCTGATGGAATATTTTTCAAAATAAAAGGAAAGTTGACAATTGGAAAGTCAACCCTCTTGTCAATCTTGTGGATAGTTTTTTTGGTCAATCTTAACAGACAGATCCTTACAAGAACAAAAATTATTAAAATAAAATAACATGCCTCCTACACACACACACACACACACACACACACACACACACACACACACACACACACACACACATATACCGACAAAAAATACAGGAACTGATGATTTGGATGTTGCTGTAGTAGGAGTGTACATTTGTGTTTTATACATCATCCAACAAGGTAAAATCATGACAGAATCCTTCATAGAAAAGGTCTGTACCTATACTACACAGTTTTGTGTCGCAGGGCTGATTCATTTGAGGTTTAAGGGTATTAAATCTATTTCGGTTGATCTAATTTGATGTAATTGTCTTTTGTATATATGTAAATTATACAGTAAATTATACAGCTCATCTTTGGACTTATCTATGGGGGCAACTGTGAAAAACTGTTCCTGTTACGACCACTCTACCGTCTGCTTCTCTTTTCAGTGGTGGCGTGGGGAACTCTAATTTGTTGCATGGCGATATGTGTGTCATCCATCAGATCAATCCCCCTACTCCAGGTGATAACAGGCTAAATCGCATTATTTGTTTCTAAACCTATTGAAGTATTTTTGGATAATCATTTTCTCTTCAGTGGCACTTTATATGAAATTCATCTCCGTAAACCAAGTGATACCGGCTCAAATCCAGTCTGAACGTATTGAATTATATCTGAAGTAATCATCCACATATTTTCTCTGGCTTTGAGGGGCACATGTGGCCCAGTCGTCTAAGGCGCCGCGATTCGCTGTGCAGAGTTGCGTCCCTTGGGCACGTCAGAAACCTATGATTGTGGGTTCGAATCCCGGTTCGCCCCGATTATGTTTCTAGGTTTGTCAGCACCATACCCGTGCGCGTGGGTTTCACCAAAGTGGTAAACGTCTAAGACCTGCATCACTTCGGGCTTTCCTCCCACATTAAGCTGACACGACGTGATATGACTGGAATACTGTTAAAAACGGCGTTAAACCCAACTCACTCACTCACTCTGGCTTTGAGTTTGAAATAGAGCCAAGAAGTAACTTTGTTTCAGATTTACAGCGCCAATGCAGTCGTAGCTGGACCAATAGTCAGTCTATTCTACCTCGGTGCCATGTTCCCGTTTGTCAATACAAGAGTATGTACATCTTGATATTTCACATATCAATTCACCAGAACTGTAAATAGGATTCTACCCGGGTGTCGTCTGATCAGTCTTAGTTATATTTTATTTTGAGAAATTCTGATTCAAGAGAATCATATAAAAAATCATGGTGATGAATTCATTTATCATTTTGAAATTTCATCAAAAGCGTATGGTACATTATGCGGATAAATCCCTTTATTACTGCCTTGTTAAGCAAACAATGCAATCAGGAACATCATTCGCCATAAGGTAAATTCCTTGAAGTTTCTTTGTCATTGTCCTGCTGGTACCTACTCCCACAGTCGTTCAGTTTGATGTATCAACTAACTTTAGAAGATGTTCTTACCGTCCAGGAAATACAAAGCAGTGTTCAGTTGTTCACTGTGCCACGTTATGCCGTTACAACCTCGAAATAGACAGAACAAGTTTGTTTGTTTGTTGTTTAACGCCGCACTCAGTAATATTCCAGCTATATGACGGCAGTCTGTAAATAATCGAGTCTGAACCAGACAATCCAGTGATGATATCATGAGTACCGATCCACACAATTGGGATACGATGACATGCATCAACCGAGTCAGCGAGCCTGACCACCCGATCCCGTTAGTCGCCTCTTACGACAAACATAGTCGAATTTTACGGCAAGCATTGGTTGTTGAAGACCTATTGTACCCCGGATCTTCACCGGTTTCGAAGAGCAAGGTCGCAATTAGAATGATTCCATATTATCGGGCTGAACATACATGTGTGTTGTTCCACGCAATTTTTTGTCTGGTACATTTCTTTTCACGGTTTCTCTGTGATGTGCAATCATACGCTTCTTGTCCAGTAATCTGTATGTACAACCGTATTGATAATACAATTTAGGAAATAGCTTTAAACTTGTGCCATCATTTCGCCATAGAGAATGTTTCCATCAACTTAAATTATTTTTTTCTAATGACTACTTCATACATTATATTGACGTCCCACATTGCCCTGGGGAATTCATTTATCATTGTGACAAAAGTCAAGGTCACATGTAAAAACGTTTTCTTGATATACTTTTTTTCTCAGAAAGTATTCAAGCATGTATCATTAAACATGTCTGTACCTTCATGAGGGCGGGGCCCTACTTTGAAATGACAGTTATCAAGATGAGTCAAAGGTCAAGGTCAGGTTCTTCTATAAAATGGTTATTTCATTGTCAGTTTCTTATGTAGGATTTCATCTGCAGAGGGGTCATTGTATATGTTATATGATTGTATCTTTTATTGCCAGCTACTAGGATCTTAAGAAGTTGTCTCGCTAAGGGTCAGAATATGGACGTAATGCTTTTGGACTCGAAGTTCATTGTAGTATTTTATATTTATGGCTTTAAATGTTTAAAGAGTTGAAGTGCTGCTTCTGTGTTTGTACCACCTAGTTTCTACATATCTTATGACTTTGTCTACCTCGCTTCTACACGGTTTATAACATAATTTCAAAGTAATCTAAACTTTTTCATCGTTTTAACATTATATCAATAACCTCCAAATGTCCAATGTACAAAGCATAGTCATTGTCTTCTCAGTTTTACTTTGTCGTCCACACATCAATATGTTTACATGTATACTGTTAGGCAGTCTGGAATTTCGATAACGCTTCCTTAGACAGCCGCAAGTAGGATATGCCTGCTTGCTGGACTTATGGTGGTAGGAACAAAACAAATATACTGAGAGTATCACAAGAACAATCTCATTATTATTACTCCGGTATACGATTCCTCTCTGCGTGGCCACACCGTCATAAAAGGTCGCGTAAAGTAAACAGTGAGCAAACTTTGACCACCCGGTTCTTGAGCCAATCAGATGTCAGATTTCAAAAACAAATCAGCTTCATTTCTCTACTGCCTTGATTTGGAAATTTCGATCTCAGCAAAAGAAAACTTCCACAACAAAACGTAGCCTCCATGGGAAAACATTTTGGTAGAAGATGTCATGACTATCAGAAACGAAAAGAAGAATAAAATAGACACAACAATATAACAGCAAGGCTATTTGTTTCATTTGATACTGCTGACATAGCTTTTGATACATACATATTACATATACTCGTCTTAATACTTTGTTCAATCGTTCCAATAATGTGTAAGCATAAATGCTGTTTGGCTGTTCTGAAGCCTACTGGAGGTGTCTTCAGAGCATGTGCAAGCTTCACCCTGTATGGTGTGCTCCCTGGTGTGGAGACAAGATGCTACCGGTGGTGCAGGAACACATGGTACTATCACTATTTGATAGTGGTTCACAAACACATGCTAATGAATAGTCTGAATCGTACAACGGACTCTACTTTTCATCATAGGGTTCTCACGAACATGGAAATAACTTTGTCTCTTTTATTTATAGGTATACTTTGCCTCATTGTCCATGCCTCGCACTCGGAATGTCTAAACGTGAACCAAATATAAAGGCTAAAGAGTAAACCAAATATGAAAAACGTATGCAAATATCTTTATACTTAGTATCCATTCTCTTCTCTTAGAGCGCTATTGCGGCACTGCTCGTTGGGATCAGCTTCCTGGCGTGGCTGGTGGTCGGTGCCAATGTTTCCCCGGGGGTGAGGAAGACGCCCCCTCTCCCGCCTGCTCCGACAGATCACTGCCTGAGTGTCAACCTCACTCTACCATACACCACGACGACATCGAACTCAACCAATGATGATCTACGCCAGTATACTGGGTAGCACTCGAGAAACTTTGTTATGTTAAACAAACAATAAGCAAGGTAGTATATGATGGTTAATACCGTTCAACTTTTACACGGAATTGCTTTTGTACTACATTATACTATTAAATTCAACACGATATTTTTCGATGCATTGTTGATATTAGTTTCAAAATATGCTAATAAGAAGGATGAAGTAAAAACGTCTGCACGCGGAATGTTTTATGACACACGTCCCTTACCCTCTCACATGTTTCTTTATGCCAATCTAGCAACTTAGTATCATTTCCTGTCAGGTCAGGTCTCGACGCCTTCTATAGTCTCTCCTACACTCTGTACTATGTGTTTGGATTCCTGATCGTGCAGGTGGTGGGCGTTGTCCTCAGTCTGGCCACAGGTAAATGACAACATATCCTCAAACCTTCGTGCTGAATATAGTTCTCGTCACACTGATGTGTTTCATTTTATATACAAATTCCATTTGACAACCTACGCATTTGAGGGAAACAAATTTAAAACATCTCGATGAATACACACATTTCTATTGAAGTTCATACTGCAGGTGGAAACAAGGATGGAGTTAACCCTCTCTACGTCAGACAATTTGTTTTCTGGAGGAGTGAACCGGAAGAGGAACATGTGATGGTCAGTATCATGGACCAGAACACAATGAGGTCTTAGCCTTTCATAGAAATGTAACTTTGTGAAATGGGTAATATATATATATCCATCAAATATTTTATTGGTCCAATAATACAATAAGCCCACGTAGTTGATAGTTATATGGTTGTTTGTTATTTAACACCTAACTAACCAAGATTCCAGATATATGATGGCGGCCTGTAATTAATCGAATCGTGCTTGACAAGTCAAACCAGTTGTTGATATAATGAGCAAAGATCTATGAGACCACGCGATCAACGAAGTCTACCCACTTGATACATTAAGTCGCCTCTAACGAGCAGCATGGGTTGCTGTGGATCAGATCTAGCCCAGATTCCAACTGGGATGATATTAGCATGTTTCAGATTCAATACTTTGCTTTGAAACCCTTTTTAGCTAATGTTATCTGTGTCTATTAATCAACTGCAGGCCAAGTTATCCTGTACAGCTTTACCCATACCCCTTTACAGTTTTTTTAGGACTATGGCTCACAACACCAAAAACAAACAAATACAAGCATATCATGTGAGCAATGCATACTGTCCAAATGTCAGGGACCTTCTGTTGTCTCCAACATATGCTTCTCTGTTTTTGTTGCAGACTTCAGGAAGGTTTGCCCACACATTAGATGCCACGATGGAAGGACCAAGTGGCTCAACAGATGGGCAACAAACAGAACCGTTCATCAGGAATTGAGTTTAATCATTATTTAAGACCTAGTGGGCAACATGAAAGATATTTCAAAATGATTTATGCAGGTGTGTGTAACACGTATTCATGCTTCTCAATGTATCTATAGCTTTCTTTAATTTCCATCAGCAAATTCACTAATAAAGAAAGAGTTATGTCCTGATTGCTTTTTCAGAAATTTGTTGTGCTTATATATAGCGGGTTGTCGCTTTTAATTATAATGTTTTTTTATTTCTTTGAACTCATATGGTTTAAAGTTGGAAGCCTTTGGTTTTGTTGATGTCCTATCGTAAAATATATCAGTTAAACGTATTGGCAAAACTGACAATTTGAAACATCTCAATTATGAATAAAGATATAAATTCGGTTCTAACCATGCCTAGATTATGCACATTCTTCATTTCAAAAGAAGGATTAAACACTTTTTACAGACTGGACACCCCGGAGACGCCTTCTAACATGGAGGAAGTGTCCACAACTCACAAATAGTCATATATAACTTATATAATTTTCCTCACTGTTTTGCCTTTCCATTCTGTAGATAATCGATACTGAATATTCTCGGGCGTTGGCGTGTTATATTTAGACCTCTGATCATTAGATGAGATAATTAAAAGGTTCAGGTCCTATGAAAACAATTTGAATTCATAGTTTTGTATTAGTAAAAGATGCACTAGTATTTCACTTTGGGCGTATGAGTGAAGTCATACTTTAATATTTTCCTTAGTATGTTTTTTTTTGCTTGATATGCTATTCTCTCAGTATCTTTTATCGACATTTCATGTATGTTCAATTTTTGTTTGTCTTTACTTCACTTCACTTTCTTTCAGTACTTGTAGGCCACGGGCCTTTTTGTACAGACGAAATACAATTATGTTTGTAAAACACGAGGACAAATGATTTTTTTCCAGCTTTTCTGGTTAGAATACTTATTGTTTTTCAAAGCCCCATACACACACCCAAGCCAGAATATCAAAAGGTCCCTCAAGGAAATAAGATTATTTCTGATTATCTATAAAACAGTTTAAGTGACATTTGTTCATACGGCAGCTGTATAGTCCTGCCATTGTATAACATGATTCAAACCAATTGACAAACACTTGAAAATGTAGAGGAGGGTCCCCCAATACGTTTTGCATTCTTAAAGGTTCACGTCATATTCACAACCATTACAATTTACTCACCCTCTTAAATTAAAAACTGGTTGCGATTTAATGCAGTGCGTCAATTCTGGGTTAAGAAATATCCAGCGTACACAGATAACGTCAGTGCTGTGTGGTAATGGGATGTGCACAGCAATGTAGATCTCTTGGCCTGGTGTCACGAGCGTCCACATCACGTCACTGACTCGGTTGCTTCACGCTAACCAGCCTGAGCTTTACTATAACTCATTATTACCATACCACTGGAATGCATGCTATGTTTAGTCAGTATGGCAATCCTACATTCACCTTTGAAAGAAAATTAAGAGCGTATGAAACATAGAAGGTATCTAAAACCCGGTCATACTAGATTTTACGGAATTTAAATCTGTGTCATATATTTACGATTATTGCACACACTAGAAAAGAGATGAAAACGATGTGCATGTATTTACACACCTCTGTAATAAATATTCATAGTGATTTGAATATTCTTATATTTTAACACCATATTCAAAGTATATAAATATTGATAGCACTCGATTTTCCTTTGAAAAACGGAAATATTTGTAAAATAAAGTTGAAATTGAATTACCAATATGCGTATGAGGTTGTGATACCAAATGAATAAAAAGTGGTCTGTAATGTATGAAATTAAGTCATATCGGTGGTGGACCATCCTACCTACCTACGGTCCTGACCTGGTAACAGGAGACAGAGCGATACTCCCTGAAAGAGGGACAATTAAATATGTCAACATCGGGAGTGACGCTACAGGCGAGGCAGCGGCATTGAACTGTAACAGACGATCCATTCAGTAAAGACAGGATCCGATGTTGGGCTCAGTTCTTCAATGACCAGTAAAATACCTCCTTGATACAATGTCAACATTATCACAGTAAATACTTATGGATTCAATACAACAATCAATAAATCAACTGTAACTCATATAGCCAGTAACATCTACAACCATTTAGCTAATTGCAACACTAGTAAAGAACAAACACCAAAACTTAATATCAAAATAACATTAAAGATACAAACCATTTAAAAAATGTAAATGGCAAGTGACTGCTACATTACAACAGAAATATTAGCACAATGTATTTTTATGTTCTAACTTTACCATATTAAGAATTAAATGACTTAAATATACACAACACTTAAAATTACAAACTATGAGCTGAACCACATGGTCTCGCGAGCAAGTCACCAAATGTCATTACACCCCACCTACAGGATATTGAATATATCTATTATGGTGATTATGTATGTGGCATGTTCACAGCATGAAAAGCATGTGCATTAGTAAACCAACCCAAATGACCGTACTCTGTTTACAGAAACTTAAAGCCAATCAAATGTGATGACACACATGAACAATGACGCTCTGTATGGATTGGGGGCCATTATTGTGTTGTGGGAAGAGTTCATTTATCTTGATAATACTAAATTTATTATTTTGAGCTTAAATTCCACCACCAAATAACTTCAAAATAAAAAGTATTTTCAACACTGCTACACACTAGATAATTAAAATCAGGCTGGGGGGATTTTACAAATGGCAACCAAATATTGACCGAATTGCAAACTGAGCTTGCGTTACCGGCTGATTCTGGTCCTGCTGTAGGTTTTCTTTTTTTCTCATCCCAGACATATTGCATGGGGGTGAGGTTTGGAGAACTGCTGCCCATGGCAGTACAGCAATGTGATCCTCCCTCAACGAAGTGTCACAACACGTGCATCATGTAGGCGGATATTATTCTACTGAAACGTGACGTTACGTCCCTAAATCGCACAAAGGGTAGAACATGATCTCGAACGGTAGCGTACGCTATTCATATTGACATGAACATGGATGAGTTTTGTTTTCCCATGAGTTGTAATGCCACGCCATACCATTACACTTCCACTCGCAAACTGACGACATTGAGTAACGCAAACGTCGCTTAAGCGTTCTCCTGAACGACCGTAGACCCTTGGACCACATGACCGTGACTTCTCTGTGAACTATATACTGTGTCAGTCTTGTCTTCTATCTTCTGTCTACTTCAAGCTAGATGTGACTTGGAAGCAAAATTGGGCGTATCTCTCGACATCGGGGTCGGCTGTTGTGCTCTCACAACTGGTTGCGTACGGTTCTACCACTAATTGGTCCGAGCTGTTTATGTGGCCATTTGGTATCGAATCCGTCGATGCACAAACCGAAGTGGTCTTGTTGACGCGACGTCACACGTTGACGACCGGCAAGTCATGAGTGTTGCCCTGCTGTAGATGACGTCTCTAAGGAGATGATGATGTGTTTCGATGCACATTTAAATGTCTGGCAACTTGGTTATGCGCTCTTCCTGTTTACAGCATACACACGGCGAGTAAACGTTTCCTTTTCAGCACGCCATAGCCTTGCGTAAGCGTAATTTACGGTTGAACAAACGTGTTTTATCAGCATCTGAACCATCAGCGTGTGGAGCTCACATTAAAAAAATACCTATGTGAGTATCCTACTCCGAACAAACATGCAAACATCCTTGAACATGAACATGCACGTGCAAACTGTGAATCACGACCATAAAGTCGAGGAAATATATTGAATATGTATTCAAAGATGCATTATTTAATTTAAGAATACATTTATATTCATTGAACTTTATATGAGGCACAGTTACTGTTTTCGTGAGTATATAAATAACATGAATTCAGTTTTATATATATAATCCTTCTTCTGATAATTAATATCATATATTTCATGATATCGAAGTTATCATTGCGAAATCAAATATGTGCATAATATTCTGCCTAAAGTACCCTCAATCGGGAGCGGCAATATTCGAATGAAGGTGTGAATTATGGCATACAGAATATTGGTTTATAGACATGCATTATTCACATTATACACAGTAGTTAACGTAGCATGAAAAATAATATAAAGTATGTTTGTCCAAGCTGTGTGTATCACTTTATCTACATTGACGAAGCTTAGGGTTTATCAGGCGAATGTGAGGCATTTGCAGTCGGGCAGATTTCTTTGCTATAGCACATAACGTGTTTTATCAGCACCTAATCGTCCTGTCATTTAAGAGGTAGAATGTCCGTCAGCACATTCGGACCATGGGACTGCGCCGTGTTTGCACTGATGCTGACTGCTTCCATAGGTATCGGGGTTTACTACGCCGTTGCCTCTCGCAAACGACGCAGTACATCCGAATATTTCGTCGCGGGCCAGTCCATGTCGTACATCCCAGTGGCGTTGTCTCTGATAGCGACGTTTGAGTCGTCGGTGATGATACTGGGGACACCAGCCGAGTCCTACGCATATGGCATCCAGTGGATACTTGGGGAACTTGGCAGCCTGACAGCGATGCTGATCGAAATCTCCTTAGTCCTCGTGTTCATCCGGAGACTGAAGCTGTCTACTCCTTATGAGGTCAGTGAAAACTGATAATATTTACATTGCTACTTTACACATATTGTGTGCATGCCTGAACCATTAGGCTTGTGTCCACTGAGAAATACGTGATTGGAACTTGTAATGATGTTGAGTCATAGAATACATTGTATGTATTACAATTAGCAATTGTCATGTGAGTTTGGTGATAACGCTTTTTGTGCAGTTTTGTGATCAAATGTATTGAGTAACGGCGGGTCAGCTCGAGGAAAGCCGAAAATAGAAGTTGAACACTTTGGTGAACCCAGTATATATAATTGTATTTTGTATAATTTACTCATGTCAAAAATACTTGATAAAATGGTGTTTATATGTAATATATTACAGAAACGTATTAAGTGAAATCATTATTTCTTTATATGTTGGTTGACTATGATTTATATTTTTCAGTATTTCGAAAAACGCTTTCAGTCCCGCCCACTTCGTGTCCTCGCCAACGTTATGTCATGTCTGCTTTATGTAAGTGAGAGTTTTTGTCAAAATTAGTCGCACTTGGTCATTACACGGTACGAAAATGTTTGGTTTTCAAGGCAGCAGTAGGCACTGAGTAGGGCTCTTGTGAAGGATTATCAATTATTTGTAAAGATTGAAAGTACATAAAAAACATGCATATTTTTGTTACAATTGTCAAAATGTATTTTTAAATAATCTAAGAAAGATGTTTCGTCTACCAGTTCCAGTTATTAACTTTGTAACGAATTCAGTATATATTTCATTCCACGCTAAACACAACAACCGTCATTTATTAATGCGTCACTGTATATACTCAGGTTTTTGCCAAATTTAAACTCAACCATTTTTAGTTGACTACCAATAATAATGAGAAATCGCAGATTTGTTACCGGCAATGTATTCCTTCAAGCCCATTGCCTACTTGATTGAATATTGTATCATTCAGCTGCAATACACGAGCATTGTCATGTACGGCCAGGCAATCGCATTACAAGCAGGTATGTATATCATATATACGAAGCTTAATGTTGTCACACATTGTTATCACATTTCTGCGTTACTTTTCTTGAAGTATTCTATTTATTTCATCTAAAACATGACACAGAGAAACTAATACATAGGAACTCAACGGGAACTCACCACAGCGCACATTAAGGGCTGTATTCCACACAAACGATATCATCATTTATTGCACAAGAACCCTGGACAGTGTTTTAATCTTGCAGTTTTGCATGAATGGTTCTTTTAATAATAATGATATCAACTGTGATCGTGAACATATCTGTTTGTTCCTTTCCGCTCTTTTTCCATGAATTGGTATATAAATATTCAACCACCCCATCTGCTATCCTCGATTGTTGTTGATACTTTCAGTGACTGGGTTCTCAATGTATTCTTCAATAATGGTAACGGCTGGAGCTGTTGTCTTTTATACAACCCTGGTGAGTATTATTTGCACAATCCCAATATGTATACTTTATTCAGCCTCGTGAATATTCTTAATAAAACCTTTGTAAGTATACTGTTACGTGTCGATTCCCAAATTGCAACAATATGATAAATCCAGAAATATATACGTAAAAGAACCTAGTGTGAAACCAACTAACAACAAATAGATAATTCAAATTAATGCACAACAATTACAATGGAAGTACACAATGGAGTGGTACTACAATATTTAATGGCAATAATTGAGTGAGTGAGTATGGTTTTACGCCGCTTTTAGCAATATTCAAACAATATCACGGCGGGGGACACCAGAAATGGGCTTCACACATTGTACCCATGTCGGGAATCGAACCCGGGTCTTCGGCGTGACGATCGAACGCTTTAACCACTAGGCTACCCGACCGCCCCTAATGGCAATAAATAATATGATGACAGTGGTCAGTATCAAATACAAAATACAGTGGTTATAGCAAAAGTCAGTGATAATCATATATATTCACCAAGCAGTGACAGTGGTCAAGCTTCCGAGGTGGGCTAGGCAGAGAATCAGGAATGATGAGCGATCGTCTCATGAAAGCTGGTCTTGACGTGATGAAAATGCGCGTGAGACAAAATGTGTAAGAGATGCGAGAGGCATGCTCTTGGCCCCTTATATACCACCCAACTAGTTTCCAGAACTTTCTAGACAGTGCTGTAAGGCTCAGTACAATGCTGCACGAGTCTCGCCATTTCCGGAAGTTACCACACCACTCTGGCATCGAAATATGCTTACTGACGACTGCTTACATTTACCAGTACCACATTCTGATCGACTAATCATTGTCCAAAATACAATACAACGAGGGTCTACCGAATCTCTACAGAAATAATGTAACACAGTTACAATCATTGTTAAACTATAAAATACACTGCTAAATAAAAATACTAATACAACTATACAACACACAACACTTGGAAGTACACCTTATACAACCCTTGTCATATATATGACCTTTACAAACCTTTTGAACATATTTATACAATGTTTGAGAGTATATCTTATACATTCATTGAGAGTATACCTTATACACCCATTATGTGTATACGTATACAACCCTTATTATTATACTTCCTACCACCATGGTAGGAATACCTTATACAACCCTACTGAGTATAACTTGTACACTCCTTGTGAGTATACCTAATACAAAGCTTGTGTGTATGCTCAATACAACCCATGTGAATATACCTTATACAACCCTAGCGGGTTTTTCTTCTACCACTCTTGTGAGTATACCTCATACAACCCTTGTGTGTACACCTAATTATTATACTACCCCTGCGTGAATATTTAACACAACCAAATACAACCCTAGTTTGTATAACTAATACAACCCCTGTGAGTATACTGTATACAACCCCTGTGAGTATATTTTGTGTACCCCAAGTGATTTCAGTGCAACCTAGTTTCAAGATATCTCAATGTAACCACCATGATAAGAAAGTGCGCAACTGGCTTTTCTGTTTCAGGGTGGTTTCAAGGCTGTTATCTGGACTGATGTTTTACAGTGCATCATCATGCTGATTGGGCTTTTTGCAGTGTCAATAAAGGTATGTTCACTTTTACAACCTCCTGTCTGACAAAATAAAGAACAGTGATATACACGTTTATAAAAATTTACGAAACTCATTTGTGGAATGGCTGGTAATCTCGGGTATCGTGATGACTGTAACTGATTGTGTCTCCCACACAGACACATGGACGTGAAACATGATACCCTCGAGTTTCCGGAAAGGCAAGGGTAAGGGCATACAAAGTGGCAATAATCCGATTGTTTTGTCAGCACATTCTACAGCCCAGACAGCGAATGGGACTTCTCCCAGGAAGCGCTGCCTAGTCAAAGCCACCTAGAACTTTTCGGAGAATGTGAAGACTCCCCGACAGTGCATCCTTCTGCATTACCCAGATTGTCAGAAGGGCTGTATTCCTGGTAGCAAACCCGGGCACTCTCCCAGTTTCAGTCAACAGGTTGAGAGGTACCAAACCTAAGGCACCGAGAACAATGGGGAGTCTGACAACTTGGTACATGGGATGCAAGCGTGGCATTTCTAAAGCAAGGTCCGCATATTTGCCATGTTTTCCTCAATCTCGTCAATCACATAAGTCAATCACAAAAGGGACAGAAAATTCAATGATATAAATGATTTCATCAAAAAGGATAAAAAAGGACAAGATCGGGTTTGTTGGCCTGGAGACGCCCGAGGCTGTGTATGGGCCTATTCCAAACAATTTTGTATTTATCATTTTCCATGACGCCCTCTACATATCATGGGTCGTACCATGGATGGACCTCTGTGTCAAAACCCTAAGCATGGCGAAGACGGTAATAAAATAATCGAGCTACACCATCATGATACTGTGTTTGTGCTAAATCTGGCCACCAACTGACAATGTCTTGGACAGTCTCATTAAATTCATTGCATAATCTACATTTCATATTTACATTTTGATGCAAAATCACACATTGACGGTTTCGAGTGGAAAGTAACTGGTCCTGAGCAGCAAACAGAAAAACCTTCATTCTAACGCTGGAGTTGGCTGGAGTTCCAAAGAACACAATCTTCACTGTTTTCTGTACAGAAATAACATTGTTAACATCGTGATTACTCAAATGTTATTCAAACGAGATTAATCCGAATTCCGCCCTTTATATACTGCAGGGAACTATCGAAGCTGGAGGCATATCGGAGGTTTGGGGACGAGCCGCTGAATCTGGTAGGCTGGACTTCAGGTGAGTGGAACTCACTTACAATATATTTCACGTTTGAATCATGAAACAATAAAACACTACCCAAGAGCAACCATCCTTTCAAAACAAAAGTTATACCTACATGATAATTCCTTTCGTGTACGTTAACAAGATACGTTATTTTCATAGGTAATATTACAGGGTAACATTGATACATAAACACCATCAAGATAAGCAACTCATCGGGTGATGATATTCCTGACAATCCTTATATTCCCGGCAATATTCCTAAAGTTCACTTGTTCACGATAATGCCCCTCTCCGTCACTTATAGAAGGGTATATAGTATCAGTTTGACAAACGTTAGAAGACGCTCATGCCTTCTATGTAAATGCAAAGGGGAACGATCAACACATTGTACCACTTTAAGCCCTCTAAATACATGAGGTTCGTTCCATACTGTTTCTTTACAACTATTTATGTTTACAAGTGTTTGAAATGCTGACGTATTTTATTAAACAACCCTTTGTTTGTTCAACCAAATATTGGCCAAACTAGACATCAGACATATATTGTACCATAAGGAAATGAAGATTTAGAATGGTTGTGACATTAAGTTCAACCAATTGAGACAATATTACTTGATGAATCCCTTTGAATATCAGTTTAGATCCTGATCCGACCATACGCCACACGGTATGGAATCTCTACTTTGGCCAGCTCCTTGGAGGCTTTGGCTTTCTGTTTAATCCTGCTGTGTTGCAAAGGATCTCGTCAACCAAGTCCACCAAAGACAGCAGCAGGCGAGTCCAAGCCATTGACTTGACATGCGATAACCGTGACGGCCGTAGAAAGTGCTGAGAAACAATCCTTCTTTACACACTCATTTATTTGCTTTGTGACTATTTCTCAGAGAGTTTAAATCATCCGTTGTTCGTATCTTTATTTCTTTAAAAAGTGTATTAAGTGTATTATTGTTGTTTTATCATACTCCATAACGATGACGAAGGGCATTGGTTTTACTCGTTTTGGACATATATAATGCTAAAGAGAGTGTTTGCATTTATATTCTTCATTCGGGATGACGTTTCCTTACAATGCTTGTATGATTGTACCTACTTTGAGGAATTTATTTTTAAACACTACCTATTTGCCTCTTCTACATTGGAATAAAAGTTTCTTAGGTTAACGCCATGTCCTTGCGAATGATTTCAGAAACACATCCAGAATGTATATTGAAAAAGTATATATCATATATCTCTGCAGAGCTCTTCTACTAACAATTCCTGGATATATGCTTACGGGTGTCATTTGCGTAGTGGAAGGAATTGTTGCATATGGCTACTACTATCACAAACGATGTGACCCAGTGGCGTCAAAACAACTGGCAAGTCCAAACCAGGTATATACAGATATTATGCGTGTGTGTGTGCGTGCGTGCGTGCGTGCGTGCGTGCGTGCGTGCGTGCGTGCGTGTATGGGTGTGTAGGAGAGAGAGAGGGGGGTGCATTAGGGGCGGGATTTTTTAAAGGTACGTTTTGTCCTGCAGTTTGTTTCACGCAGTGGTTCACGTGCTTCTTATACATGCTTTACAGATTGTTCCCTTGTTGATCCTGGACCTCTTCCGGAGTATGCCAGGGATGTCAGGCTTGTTCTTGGCAGCTCTGTCGAGTGCTGCCCTCAGGTAGGTGAAAAAGAACCGTGTACCACAACGTCCCTCCATGTCGGTGGGGGAAGAGAGTCTGGTGGCTTTGTGGCTGTGTTTCTGAATTGGCGTGCTAAACTATGTCATTCCACCCTTTCTAAAAAAAACATCTTAAAAAATAGTAATAATAATGGATATTTGTGAGTCTACCCAAAGCACAACAATGTGCCAAACTATGAAAATTATATACAAAATAAGAATGGAGAGATGATAACTCTGGATTGATGAGACATAATGGACACTGTTGAACCAAAAAGATGAGTTTTGAGTATAGATCCAAAAGAGTCCAGGGATGGTGCATTCCTTAATAGGTGCCACATGGTATCATCACTATTTGATAGTGATTCATAAACGCATGCTCGTGATACAGTCGGAATCGTACAATCGACTCGGCTGTCAGCAGAGATTTCTGCTGTCAACAGATGAATATGGAAAGGGTTTTTGTCGCTTCTAATTTAAGAGAGTTGGTAGGCTGTTCCACGAGGTGGGAGCCCCGGAACCAAAAGAGCTTTACCCAACTGTTTCAGCTTGGTACGAGGGACAGACAACATGTTCTGATTTTCATATCTGAGGGTGCGGGCAGGTTTTTAAGTAGAGATCAGTTCATTTAGGTTTGGCGGTGCAAGACCATGCTGACTTTTGAGTGTAAAGCACGGGGTCTTAAGGTGGATCCTGGCATCAACTGGCTACCAATGCAGATTCCCGGGCGTTCATTTAGTTCTTCTAGTAATGATTTTAGCTGCTGTTTTTTGGATTTTCTTGGACGCGTCAGAAAACTTTGTTTAATGACGTAAAGGCAGTTGTTATTCCTTGACTCCATCAAAACAAAGAATCGTTGGCATGTGGACTTCATCCAACAGATGAACTTTTGTCTTGACATACAAGTTCATCTCTTGATCATCTCTTGAGAATATTACATTCGTTCTCTATCTCCAAGGGAGTTTAAAGTAGAAGTGGAAATGTAACCATGTAAAAATGTCAGATTGCTTCCACCCCAGTGGAATGTGCACGGAGGCAGCAATCTGTCAAAAGTTTGTTCACTCACCGATTGTGTGCGAGGAAGGATTTGTTGCTGAAATGAATCCCAAGGTGTAACTGCTATTAATCCATTCACAACAAAACAGGATGATAGCATTCTCAGAATCAATACGTGCTATTTACTTTTTCACTTCCAAATCTGCAAAACTGTATTAAATCAAAAATTCAAAATTGGAGTGAAGGTATCTGTACCAAATCCACTCTGGTTTCACAAATACCAAATCATGTACTCGTAAGAGTACCGAGTGCACAGATGCCATCATATGGACCCATCTAAATTCTGCCCTAATTCTGAAATTCATTCAATAATATTAAACATATCACTTCTCTGGATGTCAAACCTATAGTTCAGTCTCAATCTTCAATTGCTTCACTAAATTCTTATCAAGTTATCAAAGTATTCTAAAGTCTCACAGGCAAGTACACAATTCTAAACAGCCATTTCTTGAGTGAAGGGTCAACAGATGCCAGATGAATCAACTCAGATCTCTCAAAATAACACAATTATATCAACACCATCCTCAACTTCAGAATCAGAACATCAGAATCGAACATCAGAAACAGTTCAGGGGGATGAGCTAGTCCAAGAGAGTGGCTGTTCCTCTCACTCAAGATCTCCAGTTGAGCCCCATAAACACTGCAATGAAAATTGAGCTTTCACACTGAAGTATATAAAATATATACTGGTTGTTTTACTATCCTTTTTTGACAGGATGTTATGTGATATGACGTCCATAAATGGTCTTAGCACAATATGTCTGAAATAGTGCTGATGTGACTTACAATTTTACCACAATCAATTTCTTTTTCAGCACCATATCATCCTTCCTCTCAGCCGTGGCGAATATCATTTGGTATGATCTTGTGCAGCCATGCAGACCAAATATGTCTGAATTCAGAGGCGTTATTGTTGCAAAAACGACAGGTATTCACTCCAAATATGAAACTATTACAGTGACTATTACTATTATATATGACTCTTTTAGACTTGACATCTTCACAAAAACCACTGGATCAGTGAAGCTCAAACTTCTCATGCTTGTTCCCACATATAATGAAAGCCAATTTGTTCAAAATGTTCCACGGCAGCCATATTGTTAAACCTATTCAGTCAGCTCTGATGAAAATGACATCAACGGACGAGGTGGGATAACGCCCTTTTTGGCCCACTGTTAACGTCAAGTTTTAAAGTTGCAAACAACATTGAAATATTTATCCGAACATAATCAGAAGTGTTCAAATGGCTGACATCAAGTCTGTTCTTTCTTACACTTGCAACTCCTAACATAGTTAAACTGAGTGAAAAAGGCTGAGTTCACTAACTTTAAATGAACATCTCTGAATGAACCATAAGTCCATGACCCTAGATGTATTTTTCAAAATATAACTTCTTTTTTTGGCCGTATGTTTTCACCTTGTTTTGACCGTGCTCCTGAAAGGGTATGTTATGCTCTTGAAAATTCTTCACACTTGATAATTCCAGATTGGGGAGCAGTTTCTTCATATGATTAAATTGTAATTTTAGTTGTTATTCCTCGGTAATTGTGCAGAAATGATTTAAATATCAATCCTAACAACAATTGTTTTTTTAAAGATTTTTGTTAACATTTTTAACTGTTGGCTACTTATTCAGGTGGGCTACAGTGCCGTGGCACTATTCTTTAATTTCATGGTAGTTCTGAAAGTGTGAACTAATATTTAACTTTGGTATTTGAAAAGTTATATGTAGTTGTTTCTGAATGGCTATTTTCTGTTTTCAAGTGGTGTTTACCGGTGGTCTGAGCTGTCTAGCGGCAATTATTGTCTCATTCGTTGGAGCCAAAACACTCATTCAGGTACGGCCAGCTACCTTGGCGTTGTCCTTTCATCTATTAATAAATAATATAATTAGTATTTCAAAGGCAACAGTACACACTGTTAATTGGTACCAAGTACTCACGGGATTATGAAATATATAAACTGTTTTTGTATTGCTGGTTGTTTTCGAATGACGACGGGCTTATCGCCCCTCTTCTACTGTTTCAGATTGCTAAAACATCCCTGGCTTTGACTCAGCAACCTTTGATTGGAGTTTTCTATTTAGGAGCACTATTTCCCTTTGTCAACACGAAGGTACGAAGAAATATGCCACACAATTCAAATAGGTCGAAGATCTAAAGTTGTTATGGTACAACGATAATCCGTTTTCATGTTCGTGAGGAAACGAGAAATAAATCAAGTGAAAATAAGAATGCTTATTTTCTCAGGTAACATGGCAATATTCATGTCATGGATACTATAATGCATAACTTCTTGCATGTATGTCTTTTAATAGGGAGCCATTATTGGACTTCTAACGGGTGTTGTGTTTATGGCCTGGCTGACCATAGGTTCAATGTTCCATGACAGTGGAGCACCATCTTCCTACCTCCCCTTGGCGCCAGTTGACCAATGTCCAAGTTTCAATCTGTCCATGCCGTCCCTCAACATCACCAACATGGATAACTTCACCAAAACCCTTGGTCCAGATTGCAGTTACCCAGGCGCTAATAACAAGTAGGTTATAGAGAATGTCATATTAAAGCTGACAAATAATTATATTTAATCAGCAGCTCTTGGAAAATATGTTGAATTTTTCAATGTTTATAGTACTGCTGGTAGATTGAAGTGCTTGGGCGCACTTAGATAATCCAGGAATTGAGTTCTAAGGCATGGACAAGCAACTGAAAATGTTTTGGTGGTATCGCAAATCTTTGAAAAAAGTTACATGTAACTGTTGTCTACCGACAATTCCCGATGTTGCAACATATATCAGACTTTTTTACCATTTTAGTAAATATATAACGTCAACGCCAGAGAATAAACAGTCTCGATTATCTGCTGAAACAAATTCCATTGGGCGTATAAGGGAAAGAAGCGGTGAATTCTGCATGAATGTCACTGAAAATCGATGATGACACCAGGTGTTCGCGAAGTGAGTAGTCATGTACCGCTCCACCTGTAGCAGCTGCCATCAACACAGTTTGCATTAGAAAGCAAGCGTCTCAACAGTATTCCTGCCACCACCGACAAGAGCGACAATTTCGATTTTCAAATCGCATATTTTTCTCATGTCGAGCAAGTCCAGCTCAAGCGTATGGCATCTTAATTTTCGCGTTTGCATTTCATTGGGTACTTATTGTACATAGCACACAACTTCGTGAAAGAAACATTATGCGGTGTTAGACAAATAAACTTTTTCAATCAAAATTTCCACATCAAAGGCTTGGTTTGTTCCAGAATGTTTCTGGTAGACATGCAGAGGAATTTATCAAATATGAAACGTCAACATGATGCGCCATGCTATCTCATATTAAGATCTTCACGTGGAGCCTCCACACCTCCTTACTCACTGGCACTCACATTGTTTAAGAAAATGTGAGTGGCGGGTATTACCGGTAGAGCAGGACATGCGTATACTTTTCGCGAACACCTGGTGTCATCACTGATTTCTGTGTTCCACTAACACAATTTTCATCGCTATGTTGCCTCTTACGTTCGATGGAATATGTTTCGCCAGATAATTTAAAACTTATTATTTTCTGGCCTTGGCGTTTCAACATATATTTTATCAATACAGGTCCGCCATGGAGACAATGTACAACATTTCCTACACACTGTTCAGTGCCATTGCAATGATAGTCGTCATGCTGGTTGGGGTGTGTGCAAGTTTGATAACAGGTACATATCAAACATATCAAATCAGATCTAGATCTACAATGAAAGAGCTATTGTCGCTATGTAAGTGACCTAGCACTAATAAAACAGTTGACTCATAAGATGCATGAAAATGTTATCATAATGGGGATAAAACTGACGACCATTATTGTAAACCATTACTTTCTAAACTGAACTATGTGGCTAATTGGGAGTGCACAAATCAAAATGATAGTAAAGATGAGCACTAGTCATTTTAAGCATATTTGGGGTTTAGTTAGGAGTCAGGGTAATATAATGACGGTACTTTTGAACAGATGTTTGAAGCATAACCGACATAATGGCGGCACATATATCCATGAAAAAGTCCCTGCTTTAGACTACGTGGATAGTTCAAACTGACTGTAATGTCGAAATAATTCGTTCGTTTTGGGTTGGTTGTTTAACGCCGCACTCAGCAATATTCCAGCTATATGACGGCGGTCTGTAAATAATCGAGTCTGGACCAGACAATCCAGAGATTAATATCATGAGCATCGATCCACGCAATTGGGATACGATGACATGTATCAACCAAGTCAGCGAGCCTGACCACCCGATCCCGTTAGTCGCCTCTTACGACAAGCATAGTCGCCTTTTACAGCAAACATGGGTTGCTGAAGACCTATTTTACCCCGGATCTTCACGGGCCCGTTCGTTTTGGGGGATTGAAGGTTACCAATGTTCTCACCCAAGGACAGAGATGATAGAAGATGAAAGAAAAGATCGGAAAGAAAAGATCGGGGTTTCATTGAATTACAAAATTAATGAATAATTATTGTGGATCTTATTTTCTTTGCCATTAATAGAAACAAAACTTCTATAATCATTTCCAAGGTGGAAACAAAACCCCGGTTGACCCACAGTGGCTGCTACATCTTGAGGATATCCAAGTGCCGTGTATACCCAACAGGGTGAGGCAGTATTTCTGGCCGTCAAGAAAGTCCGGTCAGACTTACAATGTGGTGAGTATTTGATTTGGCAGTGTTCCTGTTGGGAATTCGTGGCAGAACATGTCAATATTGAAATTTCCCTTGCTTCACGTTAAGAGTCGACTACTTAGATTTCATGCCCCATCTACTTTTTGAAAATCATATATATATATAAAATACCATGAACCTAACAGTAATACCTTTGTCTTATTGAAATACAGAAATCATGTGGTGGCTTGGTAGTGTATGAGTGCCTGCAAGACGCCATTGTGCAGTTGTAGTTCAGCCTAGAGTGGCGTGAAACGGAATTTTTTCTACCAATCGCGTAGTTTCCCTGCTTATATCAATCATATTTATTTCTGAATTACAATATGTTTTCTCGTTTGCAACATGAACGTTGATCGGATGGCTATCTTAGTGATGGTCTATAAACCGATATCACAAACTCGACAAAATGTTAATCAAATATACAATTATAATGGTTGTTCATGAATTCCGCAAATAATTGATCGAACCCAAAAGCATAAATGGAGCCGTTAATCACATCATGCAAGCTCATGCCTATAAATCTTCTTCTTGTCCATATCGACTCAAAACGTCAATGCCAGAGAGTAATGCGTCTCGAATATCTGCTGAAGCAGATTCATAAGGCAAAATAGTGAAGAAACTTATATAAATGAATCACTGAAAATCTGTGATAACTCCAGGTGTGCGCGGAAAGGGTAAGCATGTCCTACTCTGCCGGTATGCCCCGCCACTCATGCAATTGTCATGAAATAAAGTAAGTGCAAGGGAGTTTTAAAAACAGCATGTGCAACCCAAGCTTCTTACCTGTCGTGACAGGCAGCCAAGGAGTCCAGAAGGTGTTGTCTTGATTTCAACCATGCACGAAACCGTCACGACCATGGTGCAAGCACAATGCATTCCCTTCTTGTTGAAGCAGTAACTAATACCACAAGTACTCAATATCAGAATATCAATGGCATTGATTTCATCTTTCTTGTTATTTTCAGAGAAGGTTTTGATAAGCAGGCAATGAATCAAACAACTTCATAAGACGTATTACATTCCATGGTCCATGTTCCTCATTCATAGCGTTTGAATTTCAGGCACTAACCAAGGAAAGCCCTGAGTCTCAAGAACTTAGAGTTGAAGCCACAGAGCTCATCAAAGTAGAATTGTAAAATGAATGGAAGTGTTTGAAACATGCCATTCTGCTTGGCGAAATGAAACCACTTTATTGAAATATTACGTTTGATCGATATATCAGAACAAATTCCATTTTTTTCAACGTTCTGCTAACCGGACAGGTTCAGTTATCACGGAACCACATGAAGTCATCTATTGACGTCATATAATTCCAACGTCATTTTATAGCCTGGACATCACCTCTGTCTCACTGAGAGTTCACGAACATAAAGAAAATACTGATAACGTTTCTATTTTGCAATGTTCCAAACATTGTGTTTTTAAACTGTTTTTAATATATTACAATAACAATAATTCAGTATTCATTAAATGACAGATTGAAGAGATTCAACCTTTTTAAGTGTTTTTTTGTGGCAATATTTCGTGAGGAAATATCATTCTACACAACCATAGTCACGCAAACACACGTGACAAAAACACGGGAACGTATTGTAGTCAAAATAGGGAATTGCATCAAACATATTTTTGTCACTGGTGCGTCAAATGTTTTGTCACTCTGAATGTGTATACATAGATATAAATACATGTATGAAACAGATCCCCTCACTGGTCCCCTTTATTTCTAGTTCAGGCGGGAAAATCGATGGATTAGAATTGGATGGCTTTTTAGCGATATCAGATCATCGATATACCTGAAGCTTAAGTTAAACTTCTTGGCCAAATTACCTTGTTTTGACTTTGCCAAACCCAGCAAGAATTCCGATTCATGTGCGTTAAGAAACATATCCGCAAGAAGCGGGGCGCTGTTGGTGCCAATTGGAATGTCTCCTTATTGCCTAAATGTCTTACCCCCAAATTTGAAATAGATGTTATCAATAAAGAAATGCAGCATGATAAATCTTTACTCAGTAACCTTCAGATGGCATTTGCTTTCAGTTTTGACAAATTGCTCTGACAGACATGTAACGAAATCACCACGTTATGTAACAAAAGCCCCATGGATCAAGGAATGAAGTTTTTCCTTAGGTTTGTTATGTAGGATTGTGGTGTTTTGACAGAATTGAACTATATTTTCAAACACACAACATGCAATTTGAAATAACAATTGAGATTCAATGTCATGCATCAAACAATTCAGCGAGGCTGACCACTCGATCCCGTTAGTCGCCTCTTACGACAACCCTGGGTTGCCGAAGACCAATTCTAACCCGGATTTGCATGGGTCAATATGGCACAGGTCAAGGTCATTGACACGGGTTGTATATGCATAAAATACATACATATATTTTTAAGTGCCCCTTATTTATCATTCTCATCACTATCCCTGTTGACGGGATGGTAAATATTCTTTAATGACAATTCATTCATCTTTTATTTTCCAGACACGCATATAATACAGTTTGATTAATACATTATAAGACCAAAGATACTGATATACAGATCTTATATAAGTTGGTCTAACGTTAATTTGTAAAGTACCCGCAATGTTAACGCCATTACTGTTACACCAGTTGATGATTGCATGACACTGTTAATTATGTTAATGTGCTCGTTTTCTAAAAATATTATAAAAACAAAATCTTCCCCACAGACAGTTTATTCAGTAATTTAGGCATCAATACCCATACTAATGTGCAGATAGCAGATTAACATTTGTCAGATGTACATGAATAGATTTTAAGTGAAGTTACACATTACTCATTATACAGACATGTTGAACCACTTTTCAATGGCAAATTCGAGAATGTAGTATGTAAAACGTAGTATATTATGAATAACGCAAATCTGTTCTTATTAGTTTTATCACTATTTTACCTTTTACGCCCAATGGAATCTGTTTCTGCAGAAAATAGTTTTTTATTATTACTTAAATACTGCAATATGAACAAACATGCATGGCTTCGATGGTAAATAATGAAAACAATATAAGTTGCATTGATGGATATTGTACGATATATGACCCATGACTTCCCGAAGCTAAATGACTTTTTATATCATACAGAAGAAAATACTTTCAATCATATCCAATCCTTCTACAAAGGAAGTTGACAAATCCTGCCCCTTACAAAAACGAGAACAATCAATGTGTGTGTGTGTGTGTGTGTGTGTGTGTGTGTGTGTGTGTGTGTGTGTGTGTGTGTGTGTGTGTGTGTGTGTGTGTGTGTGTGTGTGTGTGTGTGTGTGTATAAACAAGTGATGTCTTCATGTGTATCAGCATTAAATATAAAAAAGAGTCCGGATGTCAAACCTCCTTTAGCACACATCTTTCGACGCTCGACGGCTCTTCATAACATAGGCACAGCAGCAGTATAAGTATTACACACATACATGTACACACACATACACATATATTACACACTGTATGTTTTCGGCATAGAGTCAAACGTAAGAACTGCACACAGAACGATTACTATTTAAAAATCAAAGTTCCTATTTACAAACAAATTTAGATTTTCCAATACATATTCAAATGCTTAAGTAATGGTGATGTGGATGTATTTTCACTCAGAAACCATTGTGTGTGTGTGTGTGCGTGCGTGCGTGCGTGCGTGCGTGCGTGCGTGCGTGCGTGTGTGTGTGTGTGTGTGCTAGTCCATACAGTTGCCGGTTTGATAGTTCTAGCCCTCAGAAATACAATGCCGCAGTTTAACATGGATACCCCACTAAGACGCAGTATACTTCGAGCCGACCAGTCATTGTTCAAACGCCTTAATATCCAGCGCCAAGCAGGATAGCAATAAGTACCATATTTTAACTATTTTGGGTACATCACGTCCGGGCATCGAACCACCGACCTTCCTCTCTCCGGACAGATGCTCTGTCAACAAGTCCACAGAGATGGTGTGAAACTGTGTTTCTTAGTGCATATCTTTCATCAACACCCAAAAGTTTTTCAGTGCAAATACCACTTTATGTGCACGAGTATTGTTTACGTCACACTAGTAACGTCATAGCTAAAGTTGATTTTCTTAGACGGCGTTCGTGATCTGTGCTTTTCTTTCTAAAGGGGTGCTTAAAAAGAATAGTATATGGATAATAAAGAAATAACTACACTCGCATGTGTGCCATACTGCTTTTACGAAACTCGTGTAAAAAAGCTTGTATTACCCTCGCTCTCGCTCGGTAAGTACAAGACTTCAGACACTTGTTTTGTAAAATCAGTACGACACATATGCTCATATGATAATCTCTGAATAATAGTCATGATAGCATGCATCATAGTCAAAGAAAAGGATCTAACCAGAACAAAACATTATGTTAAAAGCATCGAGGATAGCAAAACTATTAAATATATGTTCTTAATTTCCATCAAGAAATTTTATTGTTTCTGTCTTAGATAGTGGTGCCCCCTCGTGGTGCAGTTGCCGACGCCCAGCATTTGCTGATGGTGACTGCAAAGATAAAAAAATAAGGATGAATTTGGACAATCAAATCCAATTCTATTTCATGAACGGATACATGTACCTCAGAGAGAATTTGGCTGACAAATGCAAAATGAACTCAGTTTTGTTTTCCTAAACGAATTTCTCACCTTGAAATGTAGTCCAGCTTTAGATATATATTTTCATCATAAATACGGACATTTTCGAAACAAGCATCTAAATGTTCATGTCAATGTTAATCCGCATCAATGAATGTACCATGTTATATTTTCATATTGTATAGTACTGTTGATTTAGATTGACTGTATTTGTTTCCAATTGTTTCTCAAAAGGTGAGCATCCACTTTTCCCAGAACGATTTCTGTAGACATGCCACTCAAACCCTTACCACTTCATTGCCCAACCTTTACGGTAGATGTGTACCATGCATTTCATTCACCTATACACTTCTTGAGTTTTGGTATATGACAAAAGAGTAAAAATCCAAGCTAGACACTTTTAATCGCTACCAGTAGTTGAAGTATATATGAAACCCTTAAGGTACATATACCAAATGAAATGTGGCTTTTGCACCAATTGTCATCAACGGGATTTCATTAATTATTCAATTCATTCAACTACCACATGTATACTACACATTTTGTGCAGGAAAAGGCATGCATGCATTTGTTCAACTATTCACCTTTACAGTTCCATTAAGCTTTTTTAATGATACCACTCAAGGAGTTTTTGGGGTTTGTATGTTTATCTTTCGTTATTTTCTAAATACTGCCAGAACCAATATTTTGTGTATCGAACAAATTTCCCGCCGAATGATTCTTTAAACACAACCTACCAACGTGAAGCTCTGCCTGTCCGTGTCCCTTCCTGCCAAATACCGTCGGAGTCTGGTCGGTATGCAGTGTATATCGTCCAGGTGGATCAAACATTCGGGATCAACTGGGGTCTTGTTTCCACCTGCAGAAGTTGATAGTGGACAACTTTTCCTTCTGAGGCACAATTCAATCACCAATCTTGCCACAGAAGACAGGTGTTGTTTTGAACACGTGAAAGATCTTGAATTTAATTCAGTTGTTCACTAATACACACACACACACACACACACACACACACACACACACACACACACACACACACACACACACACACAAACATTGAATTGAGAAGACTTGCGTTGCGAAGCTCCACCAAGTCGTCATCAATATCCGTAAATGTCTATGATATTATTACCCATCACCCTCACACCACAACACCACACCACGCACCACCACACCACACCACACCACGCACCACACACCACAAAAAATACACACACACCACACACCACCTCCTTACGTACCCTTCAGACGTACAACAACATTTAGACCAACCCCGTTGCAGTTATATTTCGTAACAAACGTATATTCTTACTGTACAGGTATTGCCAAATCACAAATGCACCCCTCTTTTCCAGAACGCTGTATCCGCGTGTATTGCTAACATCCAGCCCTACTGCACAAATAATGTAATAGCCTACCTGTTATCCAGCTTGCGCAAATCCCAACAACAAGGACGAGTATCAGGCCCAGAGAATAGAACAGTGTATAGGAGAGGTTGTACAGTGTATCTAGGGCGGATCTGTTGTGATATACATGTGACACATATTATGTATGCAGATGTTAGCATGTCTGAACTGTGTGTACAATATGTCAAAAAAAGAAATTCAATATTGCTAACAAATTACGAAGTGCTTAATTATTAGCACAAATTAACATATCTACAAATACATTTGGTTGCTTTTCTGTTGGAATGCTAACGCGTGCTTTTATTTTTGTACCTGTAAATAAGATAGTGGCTAATGGCGAGATCAAAGGCGCTGTAAATATGTTATTACACGGTAGTGAAACCACTGAGGCGCTAAAATTCGCTTCACGTCCAATTTTAATGCTGAATGAGTCAAACTTGCATGTTATACGAGGTCGACCATTTCTTAATTTCTGTACACAAAAGATGTATACTACTCGACGCATGAATCCGTGGAAAAATGTAAGCTGAGAAATTTTCAAAGGAATTGGAAGGTATGTAAAGAGTTGATATCTGATTGCGACGTTGCACGGTTCGTATTCAAAGTCCTTGGTGATACACACACGTACATGTACGTAACTATACTAGTTTTGTAATTTGCGAAATACGATTACACTAAAGCTCTTAATCTCTTTAAACTGTTTAGCTGTGACCTGATATCGAATATCTGGATAATGTACCTATTTATATTGCGCCGAGTACCATCTAGGTTGATCACAGGGACTAAAAGTGAAACATATGTACAGAAACGTAAATGAGGTACTGATGGTTCTCTGTGGCCCCGAACGGTGTGTCCATCTACGGATCTGCCTCATTCATTGTCTACATTTTCCAGTAGTTATCTATTCACATGGGTATAGGTGTGTTTTCGATTCTCTGCAAAAGGCCTCAAGAGTGGCGCTGACTTTATGTGACCGTTATTGAAGGATATCAGGTCATCTATATACTTGAAACTTAAGTTAAAATTCATTTATTTTCCTTATGTGAATCAGAGCAGAAAATCCGATTCATAAGAATCAGATCAGCAAGACCTAAATGTTCTATTCCACATTGTTGTTATTAATTAATATTATTAATTTCACACATTGTTTTCTCAGTAAACTTCAGATTACATTTGCTTGCCCTTTTGAAATATTGTTCTGAACTTCTGAAGATAGTTAAGTAAATATTATACAACGGAGAATAACCGTTTCGAAAACAAATGCATCATGGATCAAGGCATCATTGCAAACAGTTTTTTAGTGTCCCCCTATTATTAATTCCGCGTGCCTCAAATACATTCTGTGAATATTGAGACAGTCTTTCCTTGGTTGCATTAAGAGTTATGGTTATGATTAAGCCCCCGCAATGTATTAATCTTTGTTCATATCACTGATGCAGGCTTTCAGCAAATGTCACCCTCAACAAACATTTTGACCTTACATATGGCATTAATTGTTATGTCACTTTGTTATTTTGATCAAACAATTAATGTTGTGATGCTCACATATAATGGCAATGGTATTTGAGGCCTTGTCAATTGGAACAACTACAATTTTCATTTAGGACAGCAAGACATCGGATAACAGCTGCCTGGGTCAGAAACGGTTTATTTCAATCCTTTTTTTCTGTTTGTGCTTTGAGTGAATGACAATATCACGCTATGTCTTCAGATGAGAGCTGACTGGAACATTCATCTATCCATGGGGCATTTCGCACGAATCGTGGTTTTTATATACATCTTTACCTTCAACGGTTCAGGACAATTTGTCAAAAAAGGAAGCAATGTTATCTGCCGTAAGCAAATTCCCTTCCACAGATTTACCTTACTGAATTGGAAAGAAAAGAGACCGGAAGGATTTCATCTTTTATCAGCCGTACTTCACCAAGACATCCAATTCCAGTCTATAAATCTTGTTAGCTGCAAAATTGCAATATGCGTGACTCAGCTATCCATTTCCATGGGGAGAGGTTCAAATACGGTACCTTGTGTTGTTCCTGCTACTTCTGTCTGTCTGGGTTACAAAGGTCGTGAGTTCTATTGTGTTGTTGAAAGATGTTGTGGACATGTTGAAGCCTGGACATTGGTCAACTGGTGCCGGGGGGAGGTAGGATGACGGTGCCCCACTGTCAGAGAACATGGAGCCAACACACAGCCACAGCATAAACCCAACACCAGTCACAAGCCCAGTGATGGCTCCCTGTTAAGAATTCCAGTGAGGGAGGTCCAGTTACATCGGTCTAATTTCAGGCACATTGTGACTTTAACATCTTATTCGTTAATGTTATATAAAATCCTGTTGTTGAGAAACTCCGACAAGCAACATGTCACAGAGTTACTTTCAATACTAGTAAAAGAGCATTTAAAAGATCATATTATAACACGACTACACAATACCAAAATCTGGTTATTGATGTCTGCAACCAATATATAAGACCACCATACCAGAGTCATATTTTTAGAATGGAAACATAAACAATGACGACTGCATAGATATATCGTAATGATCAAAAATCAAATATGTTAAAGACATAATAATTGTTCCATAACATCATTCTTTATATTACATTACATCCTATTTTATCATGATGCACCCAACGCGTGCAATTCATAAACATTACAAATTCAATATGGCTGTCTTAGCATTCACTTTAAACAGAGCATTCATATGGTTTTGACCGTTGTTTTCCCTTCTGCGTCCGGTGGAATCTGTTTCGTAGGGTGATCGAGACTGGTTGTTCTCTGGCGTTGACGTTTTATATTTCATTGGCGATATCCAAATTTTAGAACTTTATAACGCATGACAGATTAATGCGTTATGGTTAACTTTGGTTATGGAGAGCAAAACATTATCTACATCTAGCTTCATTCAGTAAATACATTGTATCTCAAATTTAGAATGAATGTGTTTGATCAAAACACTGACATTGACCTCATTGTGATAAATGTCTTTGATATATATTTAACACTTGGTATACGAATACTGTATGTTCCCTCCAGAACTGGGTGATATCATGTGATGTGAAGAAGCATGGGAAATTACCAGAAGGTCAAACAACTATTGCCACAAAATATGTCCTTACGGCTTATTTTTTATTTCGGCTTCTGTATTTCTATGGAAGCATGTCACTTCGCAGATAATACCAAATGTGTTTTGTCAAAAAAATGTTACGATTTAGGAAAGTGTTGTTTTATATGGAAATGTAGAGTTAAATGTGCAAACATCACTTTCTATATGTGTATGACATTAACATACCTTTGTATTGACAAAAGGAAAAAAGGCTCCTAAAAAGAACATTGCCACTAGTGGAGGGTCAGTGGCAGACTTGAAGGTATATATCATCTGGAACATGAAGAAACGTTGATGTTCCTGCATTGGGTCGAAGTAGTGTCTCAAAAGCCAGTGCTGTGCATATATGTTAGTCAAAATCAAGCTTGATAAAATAAACAATGAATGACAATACCATTATATACGATAAACGAGTGAATTATTAATGTCATTGAGTTAACTGCAATCGAAACAATCGACGGTTTATCATATGATTGTCCCTGAAACATTCATCCTTTAAAGTTTTTCCCTTATTTGGTATTCTCATTATTCAGAATCTCAAGAAAAAGGCAGGAACTAAACGTTTGTTTATGCTAAAATACGTAACATATAGTAGTTCCAATACCACACACCTGGTTAAGTGTTCTACCTCCAACCAATGACACAAGGATCGCAGCAAGGCAACCAAGAACACCAACCAACACCACTGAAAAACAAGAGCGAATAGTCGCAACAAGGGGTTATTTCATACTTATCTGAATATTATCTGAATATAATTATGTAGTGCTTCAATTTTGATATACATGACTAACGGAGCTTCTTTGTTGTGACTTCATATGTACATATTGAGACAAAAAATAATCAGACAAAGGTCCTAAATGAAATAAGCACAAAACAATGATACATGAATACATTAACCAATTTTCATTCTTGTCATGGTTGTTTTCCATTTGTTTCCATGTTTGTGAACACGTTTCCAGACACAACTGGCATGCCCTGACTAAAAGCATCAGCCCTAATGGTTATGGAAAGGGTTTCGTCAAGAGAAATATGAAAACTGTAATTTTACTAGGCTACAAAACGAGAACATGTGAAAATGAGGTCAAACTAAGTTAAGGTGCATATGTGAAGCTATCACACATGTCTCATGCTCATGTGCATACAAAATCTTAGTATTACAAACAGCAATAGATGTGATGAGTCAAAATGACATTATGGATGTCATGACGAAAACATAATTAAATTGGATCGGAATTCTGTTTTCAGAACAGCGGTAAAGGTCAAAGCAGCAATACAACTTAATTACTCGCATGACACTCCTCGTGGTAAATTAATGTAAAAAAGAAAGTATTCCAACCAAAATGTTTTCTACTATCAACTTCAAAAATTAATTCACTTAAGATATAAATGTGTCACAACCAAATACAGCAAAGTGGTTTGTTTTGTGAAAATCGTGAATTTGGGCACATTTACTTTGGGCTACGATTAACGAAATGCACATGCAAAGTACTGTGTAAAACTGCTGACACAGCATATAATGAACACCCAAAGCACTAGAGAAAATATGCTACATTTAACCGCTATACATAGGAAGGTAGATGTTGACAACAGACAGGACAGACATCAGACAAGAGGAAGAACACGGGTGACCACGACCATGAAGGACCACCACATCCGGACCATTCATTTCCAAAAGCGATTCATAACAGCGAGGGCAACAGCAGGGATGGTACTTGGACACATGGTCAGTCGACAGACAGTGTATCTGAGATTAAGAGAAGTGGTATCAGAGCACGCTGACCCTGCCGCGGAGTGATGTTAACATGTCAACACCGACAAAACACGTTAACATTTGCGAGTTGACTTCGACGTTGGCAAGTGCGAGACTGGGAATGTTCTCAGATGAGCGATATTGCTTGTACAGAAATGATGGTCGGCAGCGAGTATACAGATAAGGTGAACGTTTAGCGCCAATTGTGTTCAGCACGTTCAACCTTTTGGAGGCGGTATCGTCAGGGTCTGCGGAGGTATCTGCAGTGATGTCAAAACGATGTTGGTTATCATTTAGGGAAATGATTGCCAAGATATATGGCGATAAAGTTTTGAGACCCGTGGTGCAACCATTCATTCAGCAACAGCCACGTGGCATTGTCTTCCAGCAAGACAATGTGAGACCGAGCACGGCAAGGCTCAAGCAAAACTTTCTGAACAACGTGAACATTCACAGTTTACCCATGCCAGTTTGTTCTGATAGGAACCCCCATCGAACATTTATGGACACACCTTGACCAACAGATCAGGAGGCAACTAGCAGCACCAATCAACCCGCCAAGAACTGGAACAATATCTTCTTGAGAGACGTTTTACGTCACCGCGCGTCGTTACGTTCAGGTGTGCATCAATGCATATCAAGGTGGACATATTCTGTATGAAGTTGGTTTTGAGAGATTTTAAAGCCATGTTCAACAAGTGTTGTGACAGTGATATTGTGAAATGTGTCTTTGTGTCTCAGTCATGAAGATTTTTTTTTGATGAGATGAGCAGTTTCACACATTGTTTTATCACAACTCTAATTAAATATACACGTATTGACTTTCTACATGCTTTTCATTTCCCTTCATAGTCTTTCAAAACTTTTAGTATACTTTTTTTGGATATTAGTGTAAAGATAATGTAGAGGTTGGCAGAATAGTTTTTATCAAACAGATGTTACAACGTTCGCATATCTAATATCATACTTAATATGTCACATCATTATCTTTATTTCCCTTCTAAATTGCGTTATGATTATGGAAATGGTTTTGTGGCTTTTTTCACTGCATTCAAGTTGAACAACTGCACACACAATTAAGCCTGAGCCTATTTCAAAGAATCTACCTGTCGTCTTTGCAACAATGACACCTTTGTTCTCTGACGTGTTCGGCCTCCACGGTTTGACAAGATCATACCAAATAATACTGGCCACGGCTGAGAGACAAGAGGAGATAGTGCTGGAACACAAGGAGCATGTAACAATAGTACATTGACAACATTGCATAGACTTCCTTTACCTGTACCATTGTCTACAGAAACATCTCCATACCTTTCTCTTGGCTTGTGTACTAAAACTGAGAAGAGAATTACAACAAATGTTAACATGAAGATGGTACTGTGATGGTTATGATTTAGAATCACTACATTAAGTGATTATCAATGTCCTACCTGAGTGATGCACTGGCCAAGGCAGCCAAAAACAGCCCTGGCAAACCAGGCTGATTCCGGAACAGTTCCAGGATCAGAAAGGGAATAATCTGTGAAATAATTAATGTGGACATATTTCTTATTTTATCATAAAAAAAACCGTTTGTTCAACCTTAACAGATTGACCAGCTTAACAATTATGTCCCTCGTATTCGCCTATGTACCTGATTTGGATTTTCAACTTGTTTGGACGCCACAGGATCGCATCGTTTGTGGTAGAAGTAGCCATATGCCACTATTCCTTCAGCTAAGGCAATGCCAATCAAGGTCGTAAATCCAGGGATCGTAAGCAGGAGTGCTCTGCGATGGAAAACTTGTGACGAATTGTGTGCTAATGCAAGAGAAGATAGATAAACATGATCTCACATCTACTGTTGCATCCTAATGAAATGAACATTTGATATGTGGGGTGGTGAAAAATGGAATGTGACGGACGGACAGTTTCTTCGTTGGGTGGGGGTGTGTGTGTGTGGGGGGGGGGGGGGGGGGGGGGAATATACAATGTCCCTTTTGACATGTTTATGCTCTGTTTACTTACCTCCTGCATTCTTTGACAGATTTTGTCGCGGAAATCCTTTGCAATACAGCAGGACTAAACAAAAACCCAAAGCCTGTGAGGATTCGACCAAAGTACAGGTTCCATACTGTGTGTCGCACTGTTGGGTCAGGATCCAGACTGAAGGAAATAATTAATTAAATCTCTTTAACTAAAATATGTAGTTAATAATAAATTACCAGATGTAACGGTTGCATCTGTACCCAAGTGAGGATTCTTGGTCAGAAGAGTAAATAAATGCCACAGGCTTGTCATAAAAGCTGACTTGGATGGTTATGATAGGTGCAATGGGTGGCCCAGAATATGTGTGCCATCGTACAGTGATGGCGTTATTCATGCCGTCAAATACAATAGTGCCTGGCTCTAACTCAATAATTTACAGGCCACCGTGGAAGGTTGCAGACTGACATCAACGTAATTGATCCCCTTTACAACCGAGGGGGCTCAGCAAACCAGTACTATGGTCTCAATGATATGGCTAAAATACTGCCGATTTGACTAAATTTTAACTCCATTAAACCAATGGCGAAAACCAAATCACTTCACGGTCACGTACATCTTCTGTGATCATCTGTTCGTTCGTTCGTTCTACCCACCCGTCAGCCTTGGAACAAAGTCACTAATAGTTCATGTAGTTCACCTTGATGTCCTCACCTGAAGTCCAGCCTGCCTGATTCCGCAGCTCGATTCCAGACCTTCCATATCCCTCCACCATCAATAGTTCCCTGCACCCATAAGAAAACATATTCACTAGTCATGCACAATGATAAGTTTGCTGACAAGATTAAGTTAAGGCTCATGAATGGTTGTTTCAGGGAGGAAGGTCACATGTTTTACGTTTTACATTATATGGGGGCTCGGTTTGGGTAGTATTTTATATTTTGTATCTTCAGTATGTGTGGAGAAACCCATGATGCCCAACACACCCCAACCAGCTGTAGACCACCACTGAGCTATCTGATTGGCAGTTGGCAGGTAGGTGTGTACGGGACACCATGACATCAAAGTGTTAACGTGGCATTCTTGCTTGTAAAATAACACTTGATCCTAAATGTTAGTGCTTTAAGCAACACACTTTTATTGATACTGCAAGCAGTCCGATGTTCATGATGATGAGCTGTAACACATCCGTCCAGATAACAGCCTTTAAACCGCCCTGAATTGAAGAAGTTAGTGTCTGTTATCATAGGAAGGGATCGTGAATATATTTTTTGGGATATTATTCTTGTGAAAAAATCAGTACTCAACTAACTTTTTGTTCAGCATATAACACTTTTACCAAATCTTCATAAGAAATATCCTCTTTACTCCCCTATAATAATGATAATCTATCATGAAAAATATACTACCGACAAAAAGTAAGGGAACTTATGAAATGTGTGAAGATGCCGACAAATGTTAATTTCGGGCTTGTAGATCAAAATCTGGTGTGTCCATCACGTTGGGCAAGGCATTTCTTGATGGAATACTGTTGAGTAACGTCCGTATGATTGCCCTTGGTATTGCCCGTCGTTCCGCCTGAAAATCTAACCAAAGCTGGGCAATAATCGGTATAGACAAGGGCACGATTTGGTATGTTGCGGATCAAAATTGCTGCTGATAATTCTAACAAACAGGGCAACAACAGGACACAAAATGTAGTCAACATATTTATGATGTCCATTTAGATGTCCATTCACAATAACAAAATCAGTCCCCCTTTCATGTGTGATGCCGCCCCACAACACGACACTACCATCCTCAGGTTGATTATGGTGAAGAATTGTTGCTCTGGTATGCCCCCCGCCGGTACGTTGCCAACTTTAATTTTCTGCCATCTGTGAATTAAAATCTTGATACTTCTGTAAACATGGTTTAATGCCCTTAGCGCACAAACCACCCCCTGGTGTTGCCTAGCACATCTCAATCTTTGCAATCTATGGAAGGCTGTTAGGGTCACACCCTGCTTTCAGGTGGGCTGCATAGAGCCAGTTGTTTATCGTCTTTTATTGTACAGAATTTTCTATTGATAACAGGACCATATTTGAATATATTGAGAAGTGGAATTAATGTAATGAGATGATCCTGTCTTGGTGTCGGGTTTTTAAGCCAGACACGCCTAGGCCTCATTGCAACTTTGTTTGACGGTCCCACATTCGTCGAGAAATTACACGTTTTGCTTTGCATACATTTGGGATATTGGCGCGCCATACGATAGCTACTTTCAAATCATTAGTTCCCTTTTTTGTCATTATTCACATATGTGTGTGTGTACATAAATATTGAACATATTTCGTTACAAATTTGATTTACAGTTGCTGACATAGCAAAATTATAAATAAGAACGACACATGCTTCTCATCTGACACGTTTATACTTACTATGGTTGTATAGATGACAGCCACTGTGGCTGTTGCCACAATAGATCCATACATAGAAAACCCAGTCACTGGTAATAAACAAACACTGATTAAGGAAACGCATCATTAAGAAATAATGATAATTAAATCTAATTTAATGCCAAAACGAAATATTTGTGCAATAATACTTTATGGACAGTATTTATAGTAATACACAACGCTCACATACTTGCTTGTAGGGCGATTGCCTGGCCATAAAGTACAATACTCATGTACTGCAGCTGAAACAAGTACCAAAACTTTGAACATGTAATGATAGCAATAACCAAACGAATACTACGATTGCTAAGATGTTTTTTCACATTTTAGCTGTAGCGCTGTCTCACATATTGTATCTGTGTTCTTGACGACACATATCCGTCGTCAGGTCATGTGTCTCTGGCTATAATCACACGTAGAGCTCCAGATAGCCTATGTTTGAAACTCGGGGTAAATGTGATCTCTAAAAAGGCGCTGAGTAATGATAGCAAAGACCAAACAAAAACTTGGATTCTTAGGATGTCTTTTTCACATTTTAGTTGCTGCGCTGTCACACCTATTTTATCTGTGTTCTTGAAGACAAATATCCGTCGTCAGGCCATATGTCTCTAGATAGCCTATGTATGAAACTCTGGGCAAATGTGATCTCAAAATAGGCACTGTGTATTGGTCTCAAGAACAAAACAACCCGACCCCTATTTAAAGTACTCTGGGTTTGAATCAGGGTTACTGTATTTAATTATTTGATTGGTGGAGGCCTAAAATGACTACACTCTAATCATTAATATACTCTTTCAAAATAAAGTAGGGGGTTCTCAGAAATAACTGGAAATTTTCCAGTAATATGAAAGACAAATCGTCGACCCATGTGCCTTGCAAAAGGCAGTCTGTATGTTGTCCCGATAGTAATGTACATAGACCCTTCCTTGCACAATATGGAGTGCGGTTCTGACACTCATACTGATGCTACCCAACACCATAACCGATCCACCGCCAACATTGTCTTGATGTCTCAGGTTGACATTGGCTTGACATTCATTTCGACGTCGCTATACGACGTTTGGGCTCGATTTCGTAGAGCCTGGTTTAGGATCAAGCGATCCTGTACTCTTTTCGCGCACCTGGGACGCCCTGAACGGGGTCAACATTTTTGGTTTGGTGCTACGTGTTTCATGGTTTGCTAAACGTGAAACATTGAACGTGTGGGCACTGCACGCTGACTTCTGCCATTTTCCGGCAGGCCCATAGCCCATGGACGCTCCGTGCGTTGCAGACGCCGCATCGCTAGTTCATAAACAAGCAATGAAGGACATCAAGTAAATCACAACTGTATGATAAGCAGAATCCATTCGATTTAACAGACATAATGGTCCACAGAGATTAATCGACCTTCCTTGAAAGTGTCCAAATCAGGACTGACACCTACGCACCTTTTTTGCGCTACTACGTGAGACATGTTCAAACTAAATGCTGTTTACAGACATCAAAGTTCTTCCATGGGATCTTTGTCGTCAACAATGACGTCTGTTTGGTATTCTGTTGGTATTAACATTAATACTTCATGACCCCCTACCTTTTTTGTAGAGTATATAATATGAAAGACATGCAGCTTCCTTTAACTCTTTTGTTAGCCCGTTTCACATAACACTGCCTCGTTATATTTATTTTTTGCAGCATTCTTAAAACTAAACAAGATTGATTGAAAGGAAATCAATAACTATTCAACGTCAGTTTTGTCATCATTAGTATTGAATGGTACTTACAAAACTCAGACAGGAAATAAGATTGGCAAGAACTCTAAGCGGGCGGGACTTGAAGCGCCTTTCAAAATACTGAAATAGGAACAACGAACTCAGGCAAACATGTCAGTTGTCGGTATATGCAAAATACATAAAACGTGTACGTGAAAATTATTGATAGGTTGTAAGATGTTTTACCTCAAAGGGAGTCGACAAATTCAGTCTCTTTAAAAAAACTAAAATTAAGAAAATGTTGATCAACATCCCGGTTTCGTTTCCTAATTCACTGAGTATCCACTGAATGCCATGGGAATAGGACTCTGCTGGTGTCCCCAACATCATCACCGACGATTCATATGTCGCTAGCAGAGACAAAGCCACAGGAAGAAACGACATGGACTGACCAGCGATGAAATATTCAGATGTACTACGTCGCTTACTGGCCATTATGGCGTAGTATATCCCGATACTGACAGAAGCAGCCAGCATCAGCCCGAAAACAAAGTAATCCCATGTTCCAAATGTTGCTGTTGACATTCTTCCTGTTTAGAACAGTATTGGAAATAATCAGTGTGGCAGACTATGTCCTACTGACAAACGACAGAGCTTGTTTCACTGTGCTATGATCGTTAGTGACACCAGAGAAGTGAATGTAACCCTGCGTCAGTTTGACCATTCTTCACCACATTAGACTGATAGGTCGTGTTATACTACTCGAACTTTGCTAAGGATATTTTTTATGATATCAAAAAATAATCCAACAAATACAGAGTGAAATATCCCGGTAATCAATTATTGGGTGCACCTGTAGAACCTCAGTCTCATGATGAAGGGACAGAGGCATGCAGTGGTGCTTGAAAACCAGTGTTTGAATGCATCGCGACAGAATCGTTGAACATCATTATCAGAGAGCACAACGGAATGCGCTTGTGCCCCCTCAACCTCAACGTCAAACAACGTCGTATGACGACCGAAGAATTAGGCAGCTGCATAGGCATGCTTGAAACTGGATAATCGCAACGTCACGTTGTAAACGTCTTTGAAGTCAGCCAAAGTGTGATCAGCAGGGCATGGGATCGATACAAGGAGTTTGGATCAGCTACCCAGCGACATGCAGGTGGTCGACAGCGTTCCACCACACAGCTGTTTGATTGCAGCAAGACGTCATCACTTCGTGACTGCCACCACATTCAAAAAAGACCTGCGGAACTTCAGTGGCGTTAACGTTTCTACTTGGTCCGTGCGTAATCTTCTTCGTCATAGTGGACTCCAGTGACGGAGGGAATCCATTGGCATACCACTTATCCGACATCACAAGCAGGCACGTTTGGATAGGGCCAAAACTCACGTCATTTGTACAGACCAGGGCTGGGCCCCAGATGAACTGAGATGGAAGAACCGATCTCCATGTCCTAGAGCAGGCACGATGACAGGTGTGCGCTAGAGGGATGATGTTCTAGATGTGTACCTGCTAGTGCAATCGGAACAGACTTCATCCTCATGGACGATAACGCACAGCACCAGACTTCAACCCTATCGAATACACGTGGAACGACCTGCAGATCGCCCACTCACGACTCACTGTCCTTCCGGAAACTCTACGGGAACTTGCCAATGATATTACTGAAGAGTTGAACAATATTCCCTTGGCAACTATGCAGGCACTTATTGGGAGAATGAGACGACAGTGCCAGTGGATCACATACGCGCTGCTGAAAGTTTATTTTTGGAAAATGAATTTGTGTCCGTTTTTCTTTTTGTCCGATATTCTCATTTGACTTGTGTTCTGACTGATTTGGTCTGTTTGTTGACGTTGTGTAGTACATGGTAGAGGACATTTCTGCGTTAAACATGTCTTCACGCATATCGTCTTTGGCTGTTTCAACAAATGAACACGATTTGACGTATAACATTTAAGAATGGTGATCCTTAGCAAACTTTGAGTGTTATATAACGTTTTTGAAATGTAGGTAACTTGTAACGCATGGAGTTATCACTTATAAAGTTATGGTTTTGTATTAATATGTATGGGTGCAGTTCGCGTTTCTCATTAGCATAGTGTCAGCATGGCTAGCTATTAAAAACGTGGCTGGTTATGCTGGGATCATCTCTTGTCTATTAAATGACGGCTAAAGAACCGTCGGAAATGTATTGAATACTGTAAGGGACATCCTCGAGATGTAATTTAGCATCAAATACATGTTTACAGGTAAAACTGAGATAAAAAGTGGTGTACCAGGGTGTATGAAAATAGACTATAATTTCAGGATGACAATTACACTGCAGGGTCGTGTCACCTGACAGGTGCACTGATGACCCAGATATAACCACAACAGATACATTGGGGTGACTCTCAAAAACTCAAATGCCAATATTTCATGCTGTGATGTAAATGAGAATGAAGATAGGCAATATTAAGTTATCATTAGAAAGAGTGAGTGAGTAGGGTTTTACGCCGCTTTTAGCAATATTCCAGCACGGCGTGGGACACCAGAAATGGGCTTCACACATTGTACCCATGTCGGGAATTGAACCCGGGTCTTCTGCGTGTAGAGCGAACGCTTAAACTACTAGGCTACCCGACCGCCCCTCATTAGAAGAGCAGCCCTTGAAAACTGTTATCTTTTCTTAATGATAGTATAACAGAATGTACTTGGAATGTTAAGTTACTGGTTCTGTCGGTAATATTGGATTTCATTTTGGAATACGCAATATTGTTTCAGTTTAATATTACGTAAATGCTCCAAGATGTATTGATAGATGATATCAACGTATGATATGTAGAAAGCCAGTTAGCATAAAATTAGCATAACACGTCTTGAAATATAGGGGCCGTAGGTTAGCATGGTGGTTAAAGCACTCGCTGGAAACGCCGAAGGCCCCGGTTCGATTCCGGACATGGGTACAATGTGTGACGCCTATTTCTGGTGTCCCCCGCCTTTTCCATCCGAATTAGTCCCGATTCTCCCGTTCTCAATCCGAATCTGATCCGATTTGTATCTTCCGCATGGTAAAAAACGACCGAATCTGTCCCGACAGCGTCCCGATTTTCCCGAATGCGATCAGACAGTGACCCGACGAAGACGGTTCGCATTCGGCAAGATCTGGACGCAATCTGGACTCAATCCACAAGAAATGGCAATGAACAATTTCTCCAAATCAAGCCCGTTCATAACGACAGCGTCCCGATCCACGGGACATCGTCCAGACAACACAGGACATTGCTACGATTTTGATCCTACATAGCAGAATCTGTCACGACATAGTCACGATTGTAATCTGACTAGACAAAATCGGCTGAGTTTCCTGAATGTTACGGGACGCACCATACTGTATGGAGGGCTTGGCCGACCTCTCTGGACCTTTCCCGATCCGTAGGACTTTGTTACGAATGTATACGACTGCGTTCAGACAACGATAGGACATTCCAGGTCATTGAGGATAGTAATCAGACTTTTTCACTTTTCTTGTCGTAGCGCTGTCTCATCTAAAACGGGAGCCATAATCGGCACTGTGTGAACGCAGCCTTACCTGACTGCCGATACTCATTCGGATTGCAGGATGTTTCACCTGGTATCATCATTATTTAATAGTGATTCATAAACACATATAATTGATTTAGTCGGAAAGAACAATGGGCAGCTTATGATTACGGTCAGGTTTTTTCGCGTTTTTGAAATATGGGTAGCAATATCATGCTAGAATGTACATGTACCTCATAAGAAATGTTGACCCCCAAAGGTTGGAACTGCTGGAATATTGATCAATATAAAGGAAAAGTCATCCCTCTTATCACAAAAGCTTGTGGATAATTTGAATCTTTATACATATTTCTAAATATCAACCAAATTGAGACGGTTTTACTGGTCTCTTTTATTTCTAGACCAGGTGGTGCTTATCATCGAGATAACAGTACTTCACGAGAAGTAGAAGATATTGGAGATGGACATGTGAAACCTCGACTGTAGGTCACATTTTACAGATTTTCAACGACTACTTACCAAAGACCGGACCTATTGAAATCGACAATACTCGTGACTAGAATTAACACGAATGATTCAGAAGCACCAGTTGTCGTAATTGAAGTGGTATGGGCTGTTGCACTTGCTAAACGTTGAAAAACAGTCGGTCGTTATTTAATATCCAGTGAAGCTTTGAAGAACAACACATGTATTGAACATTCAGACAGACTTTTACGGTCTGCTTCGATAATAATATAAGTTCTGTTCATTAATGCAAATCGCGACAGATCACACTCGTGACCCAATACTATATCCACTCAAGTGTATATGTGTCGTTTGTTATGATAGAAAGGTAACTCAGCATTCTCCATACCTGTCCATTAGCGATTCAATGAAAGCTGTGATCACTTCAACCGACACTGTTTGTGGTATAACTTAATTCCACATGGAATAAATGGTCCACACAACTCATTCTATGCAGCCGGACACCTGTGTCCGTGTTCACATTAACAACGGTTGTTTTATGTAACCTCTGGTGTCAGACAGGGGTGTGTTTTGTCAACAATATTATTTTCAATTTACGTCAGTGTTCTGACAAGTGAATTCAACAATGTGACAGTTCCACGTTACAGGTACGTATACTACTTTATTGCCGACGGTATTGCATTGATCGCTCCGGATGTATTATCATTGTAGCGACTGTGTAGCTAATTGGTGTGCACAGTGGCGCTGAAAACTAAACTTGAACATTAACTCAGTGAGGAAGAGAATATATAGATGTCAACTTCTTAATATTGAGGGGCGGGCGGGTAGCCTAGTGGTTAAAGCGTTCGCTCGTCACGCCGAAGACCCGGGTTCGATTCCCGACATGGGTACAATTTGTGAAGCCCATTTCTCGTGTCCCCCGCCGTGATATTGCTGGAATATTGCTAAAAGCGGCGTAAAATCAAACTCACTCACTCACTTAATATCAAGGAACACAACGTTTCGGAGTTTATGCTTACTCCTTCATCGGGTGAATGAATGCCATGGGACAGAGGGCATATATATGTATCCGTAGGACAACAAAATGAATAACCATAATAAAGAAGTTGACATCCATATTTTCTCTTCCTTACGTTAATCACTTCTAAAAATGCCTTTCAAAGACCTGATTAACTCAGCGTACTATAAAAAGATCGGATTTTGCATTTATCATCGTTAATGATCTTATAGACTGCAGTAATTCTTATAGATATGCTGGAGTTTGGCTATAGGAAAACCTTCACGTGAATTGTATTTTGTGAATTATAGTTATTTTGTACACAATATCAAATACACAAATTGATTCAGTCAGTGGTGTGTTTATACTGTTAACTGTTTACTGATTTCTCAATGTTAACACAACTGTCTTGTTCAGCTCATGTTGTGCTGTGGGTCAGCAATTTGGTGTACGAAACAATTTAAATAAAATATTATTAAATACTGTACCATTCAGACTAGATCAGAAGCATGTGTTTACGGTGAACTATTAAACAGTGATGATGGCAAGGCAAGGAGAGCGTATCCTGCGCCACTGGTGGCACCTATCACAAACACATGCAGTTGGTCACCAGAAAAAGAACACGGGAACTTATGCTACAAGTCAAAATCGTGAATTGCATCGGGCATCATTTGGGCACATGC